AGATAAAAATTTTATGAAGTAGAAAATGAGCACTGGTTAATTTTTGTATAAATCCATTTGATTACATCCCAATTTGAAAGAACAATTCATTTTTTCAGTCAATTAAAAAAACACGGGGCGAAACAACTAGCATATAAAATAATTCAAGCATCAATAAAAAGCGCCCAACTGCTAACTTTGTATCTAGGATTTTTTAAAGTTATTTTCTCAAAAGTCCACAGTTTCGCCTTACCTAAATGAATGGGAGGGGGGGGGGGGTGTGTGTGGTTAATTGTACGGTGGATCCAAGAAAAGCAAATTAAGCAAGCTTAGGCAATTAACCGATACGTTTTTCATATGCTAAACCACTGGTATGCTAAGTGGCACCCCCTATATACTACTTCCTTTGATGAATTAAATTTAGATAGAGACAATACTGCTGGTATCAGGGCCAAGCAGTGAATGTTCCGACTGCCTTTTAAGGTCTATGGAGCATTAATAACACGAAAAAGTTAAACAGAATAAACTAATATGAGCTTTTTTGAGATTTTTTTGAGAAAACCATCCCCCGACCCACCATATAAAGTACAAAGTGATAAATTGGCTCTTTTTCCTTTTCCCCACCTGCAAGTTTTTACATAATAATTTTTTGACCACTGTCCGATTGTTATGAAAATTTACATACTGACTAAAAAGGCCACGACAAATTTATTTGGTATTCATACCCAACCTCGTAAAACGACTCGTTACACTAATATATTGAAGCTCGTGTGAGGAGGAAAAAGAGCCGATAAAATTTGATTAAATCTGCGCTTACGCGTAAATAGCGCGGAATATATCGCGCGTAAATCGTCCCAAATTGGCCATCTTTAAACCCCTATAACTTTACAAAAAATGATCACAGGTCAAATCTCTTTTCCAATTTAAAATCAAGGCAACAATACCTCTTGAATGATAAAAAACGGACCAAGTTAACATCCTTCAACCCCCCTCCCCAAAGCCATTGGGGGGATGTTAACTTGGTTCTAAGTTGGGATTTTTCAGCCAATCAGAATCGAGCATTTTAGATTTTAATTAGCCTTGAGTGGAGGATCTTAACTTGATCCAAAAAAACTTTTGATTGTGTCAAAAATGGCTAGTTAAAAAGTCAAAAATTTGTCTGAAGAAAAAAAACACATCGAACACAAATATTTCGTTACTTTCATTACGAAAGACGGAACAATTACATCAGCTTGCAAAACACCAAATTAGAAGAAAACTAGAACGAATATTGAATCTTTATTTATTACATCAGTTCGTTTTATGGTTCCGACTTTCGTAACGAGTGTTTTTTGGAGTGTTTTTTTTTCTTCAGACAAAGTTCGACTTTTTAACTAGCCCTTTTCGACGGCATTTTTCAAATATCATTCAAAAGATATTGTTATCCTGAGCTTAAATATAAAACGACTTTTTACCTGTGATCCTTTTCGTACAATTGTTAGGGTTTAAAGATTGCCAACTTGGGACAATAAACGCGCGAGCTATTAACGCGTAAGGGGGTATTAAATCCGTCTTAGAACTCGTTCCAAACTGGTCGAAGGAAGCATATTTGCCATTATTGATGTTACTAGAAGCCAAATCCATCACTTTTTATATGACGTGTGGGGGGGATGATTTTCACAGAAACTCTCAAAGTTAAAACATTTCGTTTAATAACATTTAATTTTACTATGTTATTACTTCTTCATAGACTTTACAAGGCCTTCGGAACATTCAGTGCTTCTCCCTGATACGAGCAGTCATGTTTTCGTTCGAGTTGAGGGCAAGCAAGAAGTGGAGGCAGAGCAAAAAGCAGAATGGTTAAGCAGAAAAATATTCGCTTTAATAATTAATAAGCTAATCAGTTAAATAGTCAATATAACCCAAGAAGCGCAAATATTTTGCATTTGCTCAATTTTTTTGAAATGCTTTTACCCTTGAGCTATAATAAGATGCATCTATAAGAAGAATAAACTTTAGACCTTGTTCTGTTTAGGTTGTCCTAGCAACCAAACGGTCATTGTGTGGGATTTGATATTAACTATTTCATAGTAATAGTATCCACAGCAAACGCTCACTTAAAATCGAGGTAAAAAGTACCCTGCTAATTTTAGCTTTGCTTAATTAGTTCGTTCTGCTCATGAACCATTCTGCTCAGTGCACCGCTACCACAAAACCTGTACACACCTCTATATGAAAAAATTCTCGTCTCATATTATTTGAACGCATTTTGTGTGTTTCCATGAAACAGGGACCGACCTACTAGCTTGCGAGTTTGTTTTTTGTCACATTTACAACAGAAACTCAAACGGAGTTACTAGTTTAATTGCGCATGCTATGCGGCACGTAGGCAACTCGCAAGATACCCCACCCACCCCCACCCCCCATAAAACAGCACGCTCCATTTCAAATGAAAATAGCCTGGCAACTTTGAATATCACCCTGTTTAAAAATACAATTTATTCTGAATTCGAGAAAATAGACCGAGAAACATGTTAATATAATGGCCAATATTGGAATATGCCAATATTGAAACATGCCAATATTGGAATATAACCCCCATAAGGTAATAAGGTGGGGAAGACCTGAGACATGCATAAGCAAAACTTTCATAAGCGTAATCATTAAAACACGCCTTTTGAGAATTGGAAACTCTTATCTATGGAACATGGCGCAGAGTAGTTCACAAGATCCAAAATCACTCTTTGACAATTATTTGTGCACAAGATAGAAAGATAGAAAATAGTTTAAGATAGAAAATATGTTCTCCTGAGCTCGAGAAGAATTATTCTGACCCGGCATCTGCTACTTGACCGATTCCAATCAGGAGGAGAATAGGATGTCGTAACTTGGGGGAGGGGGAGGCGCCGAAGAACTGTAGAAGTCGGGTGGGGGAGTGTAGGCAGGTATGTCTGTGAATAGACCGACGTTGAAGGGGGGGTCGTCGAATCCGAAGAACATAGTATCACCATCTGGTTTGTAGTCGGGCGCCTTGTCTCTATGCACGTAGATGCCTGTACAACACAAACAACCAGAAGTAACTCAAAATCTCACAATAAAAATTAGTAAATATAGCCAACTGACAGTTGGAAAAGAGTAATGAACTAAAAATAAAACCAAATTGTTTTTTTTTTCAAACAACTTCTGAATCTCGAAGAAAAATTAGATGGCCTTAAAGCTCTTTGAATTTGTAGAACAATTTATGATGAACATTTTTTTGTTAAAATTAACCCAATTTGAGAAAACTGGATCAATAGGCAAACCTTTCATTTCACTGGGAAATCTGATAATTAATCCATTTTCGAAATCAGAAGTCGATCACATTTTTCGTGACCTTTACACTTTTCTGTTCGATAGTGGAGTTTGCCTTCCTTTTAACAACTGAAATGCACTGAACTTAAAAAGAAATCACAAGTCAAACCGCGAAAAATCGAAATTGAGCGTGAACAAATTTTAAGACTTTTTACTGAAAAAAAAAATTAGCAAGACTTATATAAGAGTACTCACTACGTTCATTACTCTTCATGATAACTTCAAATCTTAAGAAACTCACAAAAATTGAATTCAAACCATAAGAAAAATCAATCGGTATGCTAGCAGGATAGTACATAGTCAAAATTATCAGAGTCCCGCATTTCTGATCAGCTCTGAGGAAAATCATACCAAAAATCGAGCATAAAATTGTCACACTAGCCTTTAAGATTAAAACCTACATGATATTATAGTAATTTAATGCTAAATTTTGTATGAGGCGGGGTCAAAAGAACAGTTGATTGGTGTTGCGTGGTCCCGGCAATTAAATAGTTCAGAATAAAACAAAATTTAATGTCTTTAGTCAGGCTCAAAGGCCTGTTACAGCTCCTCTGCGATTCAAAAATATTTTTATTATCAGAAACAAAGTTATTTTTTTAATCTTTCAGAAACAAAGTTATAATTTTTCAGAAACAAAGTTTTCTTTATTACCAGAAACAAAGTTATTCTTTGAATCTTTCAGTAACAAAGTTAGTTTTATTATCAGAAACAAAGTTATCTTTTCAATCTTTCAGAACCTAAGTTATTTTTATTATCAGAAACAAAGTTGTCTTTTCAATCTTTCAGAACCTAAGTTATTTTTATGATCAGAAACAAAGTGATATTTTTAATCTTTCAGAAACAAAGTTATTTTTATTATCAGAAACAAAATTAATTATTTAATCTTTCAGAAGCAAAGTTATTTTTATTATCAGAAACAAAGTTATTTTTGTTATCAGAAACAAAGTTATCTATTCAATCTTTCAGAACCTAAGTTATTTTTATTATCAGAAACAAAGTTATATTTCTTAATCTTTCAGAAACAAAGTTATTTTTATTATCAGAAACAAATTTAAGTTTTTAATCTTTCAGAAACAAAGTTATTTTTTTAATTTTCCAGAAACAAAGTTATTCTTTTAATCTTTCAGAAACAAAGTTATTTTTATTATCAGAAACAAAGTTAATCTTTTAATCTTTCAGAAAGAAAATTATTTTTATTATCAGAAACAAAGTTATTCTTTTAATCTTTCAGAAACAAAGTTATTTTTATTATCAGAAACAAAGTTATCTTTTCAATCTTTCAGAACCTAAGTTATTTTTATTATCAGAAACAAAGTTATTCTTTTAATCTTTCAGAAACAAAGTTATTTTTATTATCAGAAACAAGTTTATCTTTTCAATCTTTCAGAACCTAAGTTATTTTTATTATCAGAAACAAGTTTATCTTTTCAATCTTTCAGAACCTAAGTTATTTTAATTATCAGAAACAAAGTTATATTTTTAATCTTTCAGAAATAAAGTTATTTTTATTATCAGAAACAAATTTAAGTTTTTAATCTTTCAGAAACAAAGTTATTTTTTTAATTTTCCAGAAACAAAGTTTTTTTTAAAATCAGAAACAAAGTTATTCTTTTAATCTTTCAGAAACAAAGTTATTTTTATTATCAGAAACAAAGTTATTCTTTTAATCTTTCAGAAACAAAGTTATTTTTATTATCAGAAACAAAGTTATCTTTTCAATCTTTCAGAACCTAAGTTATTTTTATTATCAGAAACAAAGTTATTCTTTTAATCTTTCAGAAACAAAGTTATTTTTATTATCAGAACAAGTTTATCTTTTCAATCTTTCAGAACCTAAGTTATTTTTATTATCAGAAACAAGTTTATCTTTTCAATCTTTCAGAACCTAAGTTATTTTAATTATCAGAAACAAAGTTATATTTTTAATCTTTCAGAAATAAAGTTATTTTTATTATCAGAAACAAATTTAAGTTTTTAATCTTTCAGAAACAAAGTTATTTTTTTAATTTTCCAGAAACAAAGTTTTTTTTAAATCAGAAACAAAGTTATTCTTTTAATCTTTCAGAAACAAAGTTATTTTTATTATCATAAACAAAGTTAATTTTTTAATCTTTCAGAAACAAAGTTATTTTTATTATCAGAAACAAAGTTATTCTTTTAATCTTTCAGAAACAAAGTTTTTATTATCAGAAACAAAGTTACCTTTTCGATCTTTCAGAACCTAAGTTATTTTTATTATCAGAAACAAAGTTATTCTTTTACTCTTTCAGAAACAAAGTTATTTTTATTATCAGAAACAAAATTAATTATTTAATCTTTCAGAAGCAAAGTTATTTTTATTATCAGAAACAAAGTTATTTTTGTTATCAGAAACAAAGTTATCTTTTCAATCTTTCAGAACCTAAGTTATTTTTATTATCAGAAACAAAGTTATTCTTTTAATCTTTCAGAAACAAAGTTATTTTTATTATCAGAAACAAGTTTATCTTTTCAATCTTTCAGAACCTAAGTTATTTTTATTATCAAAAACAAGTTTATCTTTTCAATCTTTCAGAGCCTAAGTTATTTTAATTATCAGAAACAAAGTTATATTTTTAATCTTTCAGAAATAAAGTTATTTTTATTATCAGAAACAAATTTAAGTTTTTAATCTTTCAGAAACAAAGTTATTTTTTTAATTTTCCAGAAACAAAGTTTTTTTTAAATCAGAAACAAAGTTATTCTTTTAATCTTTCAGAAACAAAGTTATTTTTATTATCAGAAACAAAGTTATTCTTTTAATCTTTCAGAAACAAAGTTATTTTTATTATCAGAAACAAAGTTATCTTTTCAATCTTTCAGAACCTAAGTTATTTTTATTATCAGAAACAAAGTTATTCTTTTAATCTTTCAGAAACAAAGTTATTTTTATTATCAGAAACAAGTTTATCTTTTCAATCTTTCAGAACCTAAGTTATTTTTATTATCAGAAACAAGTTTATCTTTTCAATCTTTCAGAACCTAAGTTATTTTAATTATCAGAAACAAAGTTATATTTTTAATCTTTCAGAAACAAAGTTATTTTTTTAATTTTCCAGAAACAAAGTTTTTTTTAAATCTTTCAGAACCTAAGTTATTTTTATTATCAGAAACAAAGTTATCTTTTCAATCTTTCAGAACCTAAGTTATTTTTATTATCAGAAACAAAGTTATTCTTTTAATCTTTCAGAAACAAAGTTATTTTTATTATCAGAAACAAGTTTATCTTTTCAATCTTTCAGAACCTAAGTTATTTTTATTATCAAAAACAAGTTTATCTTTTCAATCTTTCAGAGCCTAAGTTATTTTAATTATCAGAAACAAAGTTATATTTTTAATCTTTCAGAAATAAAGTTATTTTTATTATCAGAAACAAATTTAAGTTTTTAATCTTTCAGAAACAAAGTTATTTTTTTAATTTTCCAGAAACAAAGTTTTTTTTAAATCAGAAACAAAGTTATTCTTTTAATCTTTCAGAAACAAAGTTATTTTTATTATCAGAAACAAAGTTATTCTTTTAATCTTTCAGAAACAAAGTTATTTTTATTATCAGAAACAAAGTTATCTTTTCAATCTTTCAGAACCTAAGTTATTTTTATTATCAGAAACAAAGTTATTCTTTTAATCTTTCAGAAACAAAGTTATTTTTATTATCAGAAACAAGTTTATCTTTTCAATCTTTCAGAACCTAAGTTATTTTTATTATCAGAAACAAGTTTATCTTTTCAATCTTTCAGAACCTAAGTTATTTTAATTATCAGAAACAAAGTTATTCTTTTAATCTTTCAGAAACAAAGTTATTTTTATTATCATAAACAAAGTTAATTTTTTAATCTTTCAGAAACAAAGTTATTTTTATTATCAGAAACAAAGTTATTCTTTTAATCTTTCAGAAACAAAGTTTTTATTATCAGAAACAAAGTTACCTTTTCGATCTTTCAGAACCTAAGTTATTTTAATTATCAGAAACAAAGTTATATTTTTAATCTTTCAGAAATAAAGTTATTTTTATTATCAGAAACAAATTTAAGTTTTTAATCTTTCAGAAACAAAGTTATTTTTTTAATTTTCCAGAAACAAAGTTTTTTTTAAATCAGAAACAAAGTTATTCTTTTAATCTTTCAGAAACAAAGTTATTTTTATTATCAGAAACAAAGTTATTCTTTTAATCTTTCAGAAACAAAGTTATTTTTATTATCAGAAACAAAGTTATCTTTTCAATCTTTCAGAACCTAAGTTATTTTTATTATCAGAAACAAAGTTATTCTTTTAATCTTTCAGAAACAAAGTTATTTTTATTATCAGAAACAAGTTTATCTTTTCAATCTTTCAGAACCTAAGTTATTTTTATTATCAGAAACAAGTTTATCTTTTCAATCTTTCAGAACCTAAGTTATTTTAATTATCAGAAACAAAGTTATTCTTTTAATCTTTCAGAAACAAAGTTATTTTTATTATCATAAACAAAGTTAATTTTTTAATCTTTCAGAAACAAAGTTATTTTTATTATCAGAAACAAAGTTATTCTTTTAATCTTTCAGAAACAAAGTTTTTATTATCAGAAACAAAGTTACCTTTTCGATCTTTCAGAACCTAAGTTATTTTTATTATCAGAAACAAAGTTATTCTTTTACTCTTTCAGAAACAAAGTTATTTTTATTATCAGAAACAAGTTTATCTTTTCAATCTTTCAGAACCTAAGATAATTTTATTATCAGAAACAAGTTTATCTTTTCAATCTTTATTTTTATTATCAGAAACAAAGTTATTCTTTTAATCTTTCAGAAACAAAGTTTTTATTATCAGAAACAAAGTTACCTTTTCGATCTTTCAGAACCTAAGTTATTTTTATTATCAGAAACAAAGTTATTCTTTTACTCTTTCAGAAACAAAGTTATTTTTATTATCAGAAACAAGTTTATCTTTTCAATCTTTCAGAACCTAAGTTATTTTTATTATCAGAAACAAAGTTATATTTTTTAATCTTTCAGAAACAAAATTATTTTCATTATCAGAAACAAAGTTATGCTTATTATCTTACTGGAGATGTCAGCTGAACTGCATAAGTGGTAGTTGAACCCAATCATGCCGTTTATGAGTCCCGCAATCATCAGCTGCGAGTTGAACTTCTGAGGCGACTTCCCCACGGAGGCCCAGGGAATACACTGCAGACTCCACTTGGTCGCCTGGCCCCCGTAAACTTGCTCTGGCTGCCGCGAGAAGTCGAAGAAACCCTGGATAAATTAGACAGTGTGAATTAAGGTGTCCTGTCCGGCAAAAAAATTCTTCCCCACGTTGTATTTCTGAGAAATTTAAACCGATTAAATTCGAAATACTCATTTTGCATCTAATAATGCTAATTTGTCGCCGTAATGTCCTGTCGTCTTAATGGCCAGCCATTTTATTTACCTAGCACCCGGAATAAACCATGCGAAGTGTGAACGAAGTGAAAGCGATCAGAGCTTACAAACCAGCCAAAATTTACGGAAATTACTAAGAACATTTACTTAATTTTCGTACCTATCACAAAATTTCTGCGTAATTGTAATATAAATTAGGTGCCTATGGCTACTGGTTTTTAGATTTGCTGGTTTAAAAATCACCAATAATTAAAATCACAAAGAGCAGCAATTATATCTGAAACCTAAATACTAAGTTAAAATACATTTCACATGTGGCGGAGCAGAACAGCAGAAAACATCATTTAAATTCAAAAATTGAGAAAAAATTGATCGGACAAACAATAGCAAATATTCACAAAAATTTCAGTTTAATGCGAGTAGCACAGGAATTTCTAACACATTTTTTGATTTATGTTTTGATTTTTTCCAAATTGAGTCGTTTTTAAGCCTGGTTTTAGCAGATAAACTCAACATTCCTGGTCCCATAAATGGAATATCAATTGACTGAAGATATCTTCATAAAATAAAAAACACAGGCGGAAATAAGCTTCGCACCACTTCAAATACAACAAAAAAAGATAAAAGTAAGCATGACAGTCAAGAAGTAGCAAAAAGGATTTCGAACGATGTTCTCATTGAAGAAGGAGCTAGATACATAGCCAACAAAGAGTTGGAAAAGAGTCATGAAACAGAAATAAAAATGACCGTTTTTTGAAAAAAAAACTTCAACTTTCGAATATCAAAGAAGAAAATGGAAGGCCTTTAACCTCTTTAGATTTTCAAAAGGAACCATGCTTGAAAGTATTTTGACAAAATAAATTCAAATCGAAAAAATTGGATCACTAGCATTTTCTTTTTTTTCCACTGGGAACTCTAATAACTAAAATCCACTTTCGAAACTAGAAGTCGATCATGTTTTTTGTGACCAATACACTTTTTCTGTTCGCCAGTGGAGTTTGCATTCCTTTCAACAAAGGAAATGAACTGAACTTAAAAACAAATCGAAAGTCAGAACACGAAAAATAATTTTGGGCCCGAATAAATTTTAAGAATTCTCCTGAAAAAAAAACGAAAAAATATCATCGTGAACTATAAAAGAGTATCACTACTTTTATGATTCTTAAAAAACAAGCTTTTTAAGTTATTTTAAAAAAAAGGGTCCTCTTATTTTAAGGGTCCTCTTATTCAGTTAATATTGCGAAAAAAAATTTTTCGTTCATTCACACTAAATAATTAAAAAAATCTTCAAAGCCTGGTTTCAGCAGATAAACTCAACGTTCCTAGTCCCATATATAGAATTTCATTTGATTGAAGATATCTTCATAAAATAAAAAACACAGGCGGAAATAAGCTTCGCACCACTTCAAATACAACAAAAAAGATAAAAGTAAACATGATATTCAAGAAGTAGCAAAAAGGATTTCGAACGATGTTCTCATTGACGAAGGAGCTAGATACATATAACGGACCCTCTAAAATTTTTTTTAAATATAGTTTGTCTAAATCAAATGTTGATTTGATGCAATTTCGATAAAAACCACTATCCATTACAACAACATAGCCACCAAACAGTTGGAAAAGTGTCAATGAACTCAAGAAAAGAAGAATACTTAATTTTTCAACGTCCCTTTTGAAGATAAAAAGTTAAAGGCCTTTGAATTTAAAGAACTTTTCAAGACCGGTATTTTTTCCATAAAACTAACACAATTAAAGAAAGTTGTATCAAGAGGTTTTTTCTATTGCACTGGTAGTTCTGAAAACTAAAACCCAATTTTTAAACTGGAAATCATCCATGTTTTTTCTACATTATTTGAACTTTTGGTAGTCGAGAGCCTAGTTTTTTTCATTTTAGCCAACGAATTTGAATCAATTTCAAAATAAATTTATGGTCAAACTGCAAAAAAAATTGATTGTTAACAATGGGGAAAACTAAACGACCTTAAGTAAGTGTCTTCACTTTACTGAATGACACTTAATATGACTCGACATTTAAAGCGATAAAGAAAACGATAACATCCTTCCATTTTCACCGATGATTAGCTTATCCGGTTGTCATCGTTGGGTAAATCTGGGAGCTTACCAGCTTCTTGATCATGAAATATTTGGAGAGGTTAACAACTTCTTAAAATTTTCGGCATTGTGCCGCAAATAGTAGTGAAACAGCTAATAAATCATATGATCGATGACTTGACTCTTAGCTGCAAAACTTCCAAGTATAAGGCTCTTTTTTCTCCCCCTCTCCCTCACCCTCCCTCATACCATAATGTTTACTTGAATAAGTTTTGTTCGCAATGCCCGAATGTTATTAAAAACAGCCATATGGACTAATTATGCTATTAGAAACAAACTTTGGCTCATGTTGAACTTTGTTAAAGCACTGAGTACGCTATTAAAGTGATACACCAAAGTATGGATTGAGAGGTTTTGGGCGGGGACGGGAGAAAGAGGCAAATTTAAAGTGTTTATCAGTTCTATCAATGACCTGTATAATTCTGCCCACTGACCTGTATAATTTGCTGCAGATGAGAAGTAATCTCAGGGGTCAGATGAACTCCATAAATATTACTAGAACCCTTCACACTCAGTGCACAATAGTTCACATCTTTGGGCGGCATTCTCACGAAAAAGAACACACCTAGGCACAATTTGAGAGGCACTTAGCATAGTGGTAAGGCGTTCACTTTGAAATAGTCAGATCGCGTTGACCTCTAGCTTCAGCTATACCACAGTCTAACCAAGTTCGGCTGCAATAGTGGTACCACGTGAAATTTTTAGAAGCAAAACAACTACCTTGATTCGCAAAAAAATATATTTGCTCAACAAAAATATAGCCAACTGACAGTTAGAAAAGAGTAATGAACGCAAAGAAACTGAAAAAAAACGACTTGTGTCAACTTTTGAATTTCGAAGTAAAATATAGATGGCCATACAGCTCTTTGAATTTCTAGAACAAGTTATGATGAGCACTTTTTGGTTAAAAATACCCCAATTTGAGAAAACTGGATCAATAGGTAGAACTTTTATTTCGCTGGGAAATCTGCTAATTAATTTCCAATTTTGAAATTAGAATTCGATCACGTTTTTAGTGACCTTTACAATTTTGCTACTCGATAGTGGAGTTTGCCTTCCTTTAAACAATAGAAATGCACTGAACTTAAAAAGAAATCACAAGTCAAACCGCGAGAAATTAAAATAGAGCGTGAACAAATTTTAATTAAGACTTTCTTTTTCCTGAGAAAAAAATCAGCAAGACCTATATAAGAGTAATCACTACGTTCATTACTCCTAATAACACAGTCTGGAATGTGAGGAGATAATAGAAATAGTCTATACTTCGACAGGCCTGTTATGGTCTTCTGATAGCTCCTCTGCGATTCGCAGGAACCACATTATTGTTCCGACTTTCGAAGCGAAAGTAACGGAATATTTGTGCTCGAGGTGGGTTTTTTTCTTCAGACAAATTTCGACTTTTTAAGTAGCCATTTTTGACGGAATTTTTTAATATCATTTGAAAGGTACTGTTGTCTTGAGCTCAAATTTGAAAAGATAGTTCACCTGTGATCATTTTTCGTAAAGTTACGGGGGTTTAAAGTTTGGCATTTTGGGACAATTAACGCGCGATATATTTCGCGCTATTAACGCGTAAGCGGAGAGTTAATCCGTGTTAGAAATCGTTCCAATTTGGTCGAAAATATCTTATTTGCCATAATTGATTTGTTACAAGGAGCGAGATCAATCCTTTTGTACTTTATATGGCGTGTAGAGGGATGATTTTCATTTAAAAAAATTTCAAATTTCAAAAAAAAATTTTTTTCATTTTGTTTTATTTCATTTAATTTTTCCATGTTATTACTGCTCCATTGACCTTAGGAGGCAGTCGGAACATTTAGAATATTTCCCTGCTTCAACAAAAAACAAACAGAGGAGAAGCATATAGGGCAAATATGACGACAGCTGTTAAGACGACAACTCGAACAGCTCATTTCAAATGCATTAACGCGCATTTTTCGTCTTAATGTCGTTGTCGTCTCAATGTCAAGTCGTGTTATTTACTTAGCACCACGGGAAAATTTATTGGAAACAGTCTACCCGTTTTGAAGCGTTGACTACGTAAAAGTAAACTTATCAAATTAAAGTAGAATATCTTAACGAACTTATTTGATACAATGATGAGTATTTGACACTGTTTAGGCAACACATTTTACACTATCGTCTTACTTCTAATTTTAGTGTATCATATTAATTTTCTTTTCAGCTGGCGAAACTGGAAGTCAACCAAGAGCTCAAAGGATAAGGAAAACGTGTACTCAAACTTTAACGACAAAACTAGCAATATACGCTTAAAAGAATGTCAGAATTTGTTAATAAAATTTTTTAAAGAACAAAAAAATTGATAAAATTATCAAATCTACAAGATTTTTATCCCTACAAGATTCCAGTTCCATATTACAAATGGAGAAAAAGCTTTTAACTCCTTTCCAAACGGTTCAGCATAATTTAAGTTCTCGTTATTCCCATTTTTGTTTCACGAGGTTCACAAATCATTAAGGTATGCATGAAACGCTAATAAACTTTCATCTTTTAAACGCTAATAAACTTTTTAGTCTAAAACTTGTTTAATAAATATTCCAAAAAAGAAAGCGGGCTTTTTAAAATTTCACAACCTCTGATAACTTCTATCAAAGATCTATTTGAAGCTAAGTTGTCAACACTTCAGCTCAAAAATTCTATAAAAAATTGGATCTGAAACACTAATCAGAAACAAAGAAGAAAGGCTCGTATATGACGTCATCAAACCTTTATCATTTTGAGATCTGCTAATGTCCAGGTTCATTATGGCCTTCCATCCAGACCGTCTCAGAGCAGTGAACAACTGGCAGAGGAGGGTAACAGAGGGCATTGCACTCTCTCCTCTAGCCCACCACGGCGTACCCTTGCATCAAAAACCAGATTTGAATTCATGTGAAAGGCAATTACAATTTATCGAATTAACTATAGAAAAGGAAAATGAACACAGTCTTCTCACATCGCTACTTAAGCTACTAAATTTGATGCCAATAAATAGCTCAATGAATAAAAAAAATCGGGATAATTTTTTGAGACACCGAAATTTAGGCAAATTATAGAAAATTTTTGGGAATTAGCTCTTCCTGAATGTTTCGTTACAGCTGAAAGCGATTGTTCCAAACGAAGATAGAATAATACATGAAATTTCGCGGCTAAATTTGCAACTGGAAAATGAATTGCATGAATTATCGAAAATTAACATGCGCTAACACTAAAATTATATGTTGACAAATTTATCTAATTATTAAAAATACACTTTGTTGCTCTAACATTCGCGCCCCTGTTAACCTTTGATCAACAAATTTTTGTTTCAAATAGTTAGGTTCATCGGAAGAAAAACAGTGTGAAGACGCGCGTGGCAACATTGAAGGGCTGATTGCAGAGAAGATTGAAGTTAAGAAAATTGTTTTGAGGGAAGTTGATAAGCCGGGAGTGTCGTGTTGTCATCCAATGACTGGAATTGGCAAAAGCAGCCCCAAACCCTGCGGCCAACAAATGGAAAAATCGGAAACACCGGAACAAGAAATATAGGAAGAACGCTTTTGAAGGCGAAGGAGGAAAAAGGAGTAGCGTAAATGAACTTGGTTTATTGTTTCTGTTTATCTACTTCATCGGTTCAGTCATTTTGCATAGTCAGCGGCTTAGTCAGCGGAAAATGTAGTTTTTTTTATTTTTTGGCACAGTCCTCGTTTCGTAACTAAGATATCCAACGGTCCATTCTATCAAGAATTATGCAAGTATTCACATCGTTTTCTGGAAGAACTTTCCATCTTCATTTAGCACGTTAATGGCAGGACAAGCAATAGTAGGCTATTGAGTTGACAGAAAACCATTCAGCTGCATCGATGGAGTGAGCAGCACAGTACCTATACCGTTATGCAAAATTGATTTTATTGGTCTTGATCTGATAAAAGCTATCTGGAAAAGTGATGTAATTGAGTTCAAGTTACCCTCGGTGGCCTATTGTTTTGTAGTACAGTAGTTCCATTGAATCAATAGCAGCTTTCCAAAGACTTCCAAAGCTTAGAGACTTTGTAGGTATAACAGTCTTGTGAGGTGATGCATAAGTCTCGAACATAGTCAAGAAGGTTGTATATCTTGAGTTTTACTAGAAACAGTTTTTCTTGAATCAGCTTATTTAATGGTCAAATGATATTCTTTCTATTAGCTCAAAAGATCTGCGTTGAGCGACCCTTTCAATCGAGGAAACTTTGGACTTCATTCAAACGTTTACAAGAGTCGAAAACATGATATCCAAACTAGTTGCTTTGCTAGTAAGACAAACGAAAACTATTTTGCAGTGAAATAGTTGGCGGGCTTCTTTGGGTTTCAGTGGTCCAAGTCATCAGTGTTATCATCAGCTTCAGCTCACTCTGGCTCAGTAGTGGAATCGAACGCATGTCATATAGATTCAGTTTGATGCAAAGAAGCTTATTGGGTCCGCAACGGTGTCATTTAATCAACAATGAAGGTTGAATCCGCTTCTCATTTTAGACAGCTAGCTGCTTAGAGTCGTCCACCGACTTTCATCAAGCCATCAGTGTCTGTAAATGAGTAATTCTGAAGAAGGTTTGGAGTCCCGTAGAACTTACATTTCTTCATCAAAGTGCCACTGTTGCACGTCTTGTAGAAGAAGAATGATTATTAACTTTCGAAGATACTTCCGATCACCAATGTTATGCTTCAAAAAATAAAGAGCAAACTTTGCATATAAAGCTTCGATGAGCAGAAATTTACCAAATGATCCCCATTGATCGAAACCGAATAACATTCCACTCATTCATGTATCTGACGTCGTCTTGGTTCTTTCTAATGCTTGCACGTTTTACTCCCCACTGTCAAATTGAGTGGTGGATTGAGGATTGTATGGTTCAATAGTCGCGTCAGCTCTTTTTTCCTTCTTTCGCTTTAAGAATTATAAATTGAGAAAGAATAAAGACTTGATTTGCCGACAAACAAGGTATTGCCCAAAAAATGGCAAATTTTGTAGTTCAGCTGAGACTACTGAGTCAGAAAAAGTTTCAAATTGTCGGCTGGTTGCAAAATTTATTGAAATTTTGCAATTCCGTTGTCCGCAAAGGCAGAGTACGTGTTCGAGCTGATCTGATCCAAGCAAAAGCTATTTTTTGAATCACTCCAAACTTTGACATTAGCAAACGTTTTCGGAACTTTGATCGATTTCAAGACCCATCTGCAAAAAATGACAACCCAGAACCATTGAACAAAGCTTCAGTCTCGAAAGGCAACTTGTCTTTCCTGGCGCTAGTCGTATTAGGCGAACGGAACCGAGATAAACAAATCGGATGTTGTTTTTGCCATATGGCATCACAGAAGACTTCAATATCCAGTTGCTGAAACCTGTCTCCTATCTCTGGCCAATTTGTAATTGATTCGATATAGATAACCCATCTTAATAATCCCCTTCTACATCTCCGTCCATTTTTTTCTTCTCCGTCCAAAAGAATCGTCGGCTACTTTGCTACAAAAGTTGAAAAACCCGTCCCAAATTGGTGGCGATTATCTGGCAGGTGATTGCGTGCTGTCTAAATGCATCAGATACGTTTGTTGTTTTCCTTTGTTTTATGTACTTTCATGTGTTCATCTTTCTTTATAGCGCTTTTGTTTAATCTTCATTTTTTCAACTCGCTCAGATGTGAAATTGTGGATAACAAGATTCTCGAAAAAAAAATTCTTTCTCAAATTTAACGACATTTTAAATTCAAAATATCTCGAAACTTTGAATTTACTGACTTTAATTCAGATGTTGTTTCATCGGGCAAACATGCTGAAAGTGGCTGCACAGTTTTTATTGTTCTTCTTTATCTTTTCTTAAGCTTTGATTTAATACTTCAAGAACTATTTCTCTCAACTGAAACGATTCTTGGAAAATTCCTGGCAACTTAACAGACATCCTTGTGGCTCCCATTATACTGGTTAGGTGTTTGGTAGGCTCCTGCTTTCTTCTGATCTCGGGCCTGACCTTCGCTTTTGTGCTCTTTCCGGCACTTGTGCCGGAAGCAGTTGGAAACTGGATGCCAATTTAGACCAATAGTAGTCAACCATTACCATTTTCTGCTAGGAGCAACACTGCTCAGGCAGCTTATCGAGTATAGCAGCAATCTAACCTTGTTGATACTTGCCCATTTCGAAATTTTAAGCAAGCTTTGGTTTAGGTATCCGTAGTACTCTGGGGTAACTCGATGGCGCTTTTCTCAGTGTCTGTGCATCCAATGTAATCGTTCACAGAGTAAAACTCAACTACGTGGCTTCGCTAGTTCATCTTTTGTTTTCTTGGCTGCGTCTGATAAGACTCGTTGATGGGAGGAGTCAATCCGTTTTTACCTTTCTCTATAAATGAAGATAATAATTCCTGTCAGTCTTTTGCCTGGACATCTTGATGTCACCAGATAAGGCTACTTGGTAGAAAAGAATAATGATTAAGCCTTTTGGATGAACAAAAGGTCAATCTGTTGCTTGGCACACACTAGCAGATGTTATTGAACGATTCTTCGTTCAATGGAGTGCTGATCTGTTGAAGACAGCTCTGCGCTTAAATGTAGTAGAATCTGCATGATGAAGTATTAATAGTTCATCATGCAGATTCTACTACATTTAAGCGCAGAGCTGTCTTCAACAGATGAGCACTCCATTGAACGAAGAATTGTTCAATAACATAATGAAGCAAAAATTGAATGAAGCAACAATTCAACAGATCAGCGCCCCTTTGAACAAATACTCGTTCAAGGACTTCTACAATTCATTAGTTGCGAATTACCCCTGCTGTGAACTTGAGTGCATCCGATATTTCGATAAAACTATCGACCATTAAATCTGACAATGGCTACGGATAAATTGTCAATCTACAAATCACATTGAAACTACAATGAAAACAACTTTAAATGATCAATCGGCCTTAATTCTTCAACTCCCAAAGCTTTCCGGCAAATCATTTCTAAAGAGAAGCTACGACAGAACAGTTTAGTCAAAAACCAATGTAGTAAATACTTCCGAAAGATGGTTGACACTGTTGACATCGAAGAGGTACCTGTATCGAATCAGTTCCTGTCAGATCGGAAATTTCCGATCTGACAGGAACTGATTCGATACAGGTACCTCTTCGATGTCAACAGTGTCAACCATCTTTCGGAAGTATTTACTACATTGGTTTTTGACTAAACTTTTCTGTCGTAGCTTCTCTTTAGAAATGATTTGCCGGAAAGCTTTGGGAGTTGAAGAATTAAGGCCGATTGATCATTTAAAGTTGTTTTCATTGTAGTTTCAATGTGATTTGTAGATTGACAATTTATCCGTAGCCATTGTCAGATTTAATGGTCGATCGTTTTATCGAAATATCGGATGCACTCAAGTTCACAGCAGGGGTAATTCGCAACTAATGAATTGTAGAAGTCCTTGAACGATTATTTCTTCAGGGGGGCGCTGATCTGTTGAATTGTTGCTTCATTCAATTTTTGCTTCATTATGTGATTTATTGTTTGACATTTGCAACACTTAAGCTGTCCAAAAAACAAAGTCAGTCAATAGTATGTCCCCACCTTATATTCAGCCGATTAATAAAGTGACTTCCCGTATTTTTCGAAAGAAAAGCTAAGTATTCGGTTGGTCCTAGTATTCGGGTGGTCCAAGTATTCGGATGGACTACAACTTTGGAAAAATTTTATAAACAACACGAGTTTGCGTAGGTCTGGATTGCGCGATACAGCAGAATGTTACTCGAAAATCTTTCCGAAAAATAGACGACTTTGCGTAACTAGAAGCGCAAAGTAACAAAAACGGACTTTTGATTCTAGACTGTTAGATGGTAACCTCATAAGAAGAAACCACCGCCTTCAAACATCAATTCTTTTCGGCAGCTAGGTTCCATGTTTACTACGTTCCATAGAACTAGACGATTACGGTAAAAAAAAAAGAGTGAGATTTCTACAACCTAATCAAACATGGACACGGAGTTTCGTTCATTAACATAAATAGAAACGAATTTGAGCGACTACACCATACTATACTCATACCGATATAGTTACGAAGACTTCCATTCGATTAACTCAACTTTTCATCTCGAGCTTCGGTAGAGTTGGTCACAAGCCATTTCTCGGTATACAAGATGCTCACCTTCAAATGAGCGCTATTGAGAACGAGCGGCTTCATATAGTTAAATTGGCCTCATTAAAAATTTTAAGTTTGCTGTCATTTGTTCATTGCAATTCATATAAAACCAAGCAGTGTCGCTGCTGCAAACACTGTTGAGTGCCCAAGGTTTCACAAAGAGTTGTAAGTTTGAACTTTCTGAACCACTTTTATCTAACCAAATGAAGCGCGTCTTAGTGCTGATCACATAAATCTTCCATTCTGATAGTACCATTGATCTGAAATTCTCACTGCCGAGGCAGATTTCGCTTTTGACATGATACGGCTCATCTTTGCCGTAAAAATATAGTAATTCTTATTAGTTCTTGGGTCTTCAATTCTGCTGCTGACGTTCATGTTTGGGAGATCTAGAAGAGCCATGAGTTGAAGAAAGTTCACAGTTTCTGTCTCAACTGAAGCAATTTCATATGCTTTCCACGACTCGGGATTGAGCTTCTGATGAAAAATTAAAGGCCGCATTTTGTTCTCTCTTGACCTTCCGAGCGCCTTGATTGATTGGGAACTCTCATAAAAGAGAGAATGTAGTTGACATAGCTACAAGATTTTTTCCAGCCGTTTTCTGATTGTGAAACGCAGTTAAAAAGTGGATGTAGTTGACGTAGAAGCGAGACATTTTCTGTCCTTGACAAAACCTTGCAAAGGATGAATGGATTGTTTTTGTATATTTTCTCCAGCATGTGCAATGCCACTTTGTAGTTGCTTTCTATTGTCTTCAAGATTAACAGTTCTGATTTGTGAAGTTTGTGATGGTTAGCTGACCTTAACTGATCAATAAAGCTCAGCCATGTAGTGACATCTCCTACATATACTACATCTCATAAGATTTATCTACGACTGTCTGAAGCTGTAAGTTTCGAAAGTTAAATCCAACTGGTTCCAGTAAAGTTGATATGCTGACTTGATACTGCTATCAACATCTTCGCTGCTTCAATGTCTTGTCGAGCAGCCCTCTGCGATTATTGAGCTCACAGGAAATCATAAGCTGTATGATCACTTATGACATCGAACAGCTCTTGATCAGCAATGGCCAATGAGCCGAGCAACACTCAAGCTCTGTCGTTTTATCGCTCAATTTATCTTAGTTTTAAGGAGGGTTAGAACTAAAAACTGACTTGAACAATTTCTCATTTCAGAGCTTGCAGACAGTTTTTAGAGCTGTTTCGAGCGTATCTATTTCAACTTTAACTTTTTGTAGACTCAGTCAACGCTTAGCCCGTGGGATTATGCAGCAAACCTGTGAAAAAACTGCACCAAAAGCTCAAAATCGACAGGTTCAATCAAGGATTCACTTACTATTACTTTTTATTGCAACATACTGCGGGACCAAATTTAAGTTGATTGTGGACTATCAAACTACGCTTCTTATAAGTTTACATAAGAAATAACTGATAAGCTGAAAATTTTTATTTTTTAAATGACATCACAGATAGCAAGAAACGGGCTTTTGCACAAAAGGCTTTTAGCCAGCTCGGTTTATTGAAAAGCAAGCAATAAGTAAATGCAAATCTCCATTTACTTTGGCACACAGGAATTAAAAATGTATCAAGTGAGTTAACTTTTTACTAATCGAACATCAAAGCACAGATGGTGCATGCTGCAAAAGTGCCATCAAACAAAAGAAGAACAAATATTTGCAATTTGGGTTGAAAAAAGTAGCCTTGCAGTATCAAACTACGATTCACTAGCGTAACACAGAGGCGTAACACTAGCGAGAAAAGGACAAAAAGCAGCTCTATTAAGTACAATGAAAAAAAGTAAAAATTAAGCCTTGAATTAGTAAAACTTCGGCTAAGTCTCGGATTCGATATCCGACCTACGGCGATCTAGATAAAAAGAGTCTCACACACTAAGCATGCAGCCACGGAAGCTTACTTAATCACAAACAATAGCCAAAAATAAAGCAGAGAACAGATGCTAAGAAATTTCCAATGCTACAGATAGTATAGTGATAAGAGCAAAAATGTCACGAAATTAGTGAACACTCTTAATGATCACTTTTATTTGCGATTTAGCTTAGAAAAAAGAAGGTTCGTACTAATACACTACGCTTGGCTTGTGTAAATATGAGCAATAAGAATAACTACTTTTAACTTGAACTCGTAACTTCCGTAGTGGTCTCCTTCATTTTGAATTTCGGGCCAGAAGCTCCTGATCACACCTTGGATAATATCTTGGACGGCTCCATCAGCATTCATCAACCTGTAAAACACTAACCAATTTCGACTCTTTTCAGTAATTCACACTACTTTCGACTCTCTTCAAAAATCACACTACTTTCAACCAAACAGGCGTGAATTTTGGTTGTTTGTTTGACCTCGATATTTTGACTTCAAAACAAAGCGTCAAGGCATGACTGATTTTGACGGCAGTATATAAACCAACAAACGTATAAGCCAGCTACCATATAAAACAGCAGAAGTTCCTGAGTAATTGTATAATTCTTATGTAACAATTATGTAATAGTTACGAAAATGACACATGCTGACCTGAGTCTGTCATTTCTGTTGAGACTGATAGCAAATATAGACTGGGTGAAGGCAGGCGATATGTACAAGTTCTTCTTCCGGCAGAAGAACAGAACGTCTGTGGCCGCGTCCACATTCGTGGCCGAGTAGAGAGTCCACCCATACTGGCCCATTGACTGCATTATCTTCATTATTAGCAGCCTATTGCACACAAAAAAAATAGAGAGTTGCAAAAAGTTCGGACAGACAGAAATAATTAAAACGAAATCAATCGGCTAATTGTGAGCACTTTTTGCATTCAAATTTAATTTTTTAGGTAAAATTGAGATATACTTTCTGCCTGAAAAATTAGTTTTTGCATGCAAAAACTGTCTGAAAAAGGTCATTTGCTCTTTTTAATTAATTTTGTCTGTCAAAAACTTTTTGCTCTTAATTATACTTTAGTAATGAGCTAATTGATATCCAGCTAACCGTTTTTAATCAATAATTGTCAATACCTTAATTAATAATACGAAAGGAAAAAGCGCTCTCTCAACAAAATGAATTAAACAAAATATTTTGGCGTCTTAGGAAATTGATCTCACACCAATTCAGTACTTAAACCATCGCACCGTTCGTTGCGTAAGCTCGATTAAGTTGCCTGGTATCAAGCTTCTGACATCGATATTTTGACCCGCAAAGCAAAAAGGTTTAGGTGTACACGATCTTTAGGTGTACCACCCTTATAAAAAAAAACTCAACGGTTAAGCATACGCAAATTTAGTACCCAGTAATGAATCCCCCCTTTTTGCAAAGGGGATAGTTATAAAATTTAAGAAAAATTCAACTGCCCAGAAATTGGAGTGGTCAAAGCCATCATTTTATTATCAAATAAGAAGTCTCCATTGAAACGGTAACACGTTTTTTCATACACGAGCGGACATTTTCAAAAAAATTCAATTTTTTAAGGTCGACCAAATATATTTTCCGAGCAGCCCCAGGACACAATAATGACCTTTATTTCGACAAAACTCACTGGGCCAAAGCAAACTTTAGAAGGACCAGTTCAAAAATGACGTTCGTTTTTGAACACTTTGAAAAGTTGTTTTTGATAGCGTTGCGTTTTTTAGCGCACACTCTTTTTCAAAAGGCGTTTTCAGAAAAACTTCAAAATTGGTTGGCCGACAATGGATATCATAAAACAGAACCAAAGGGCGACCCTTTGTTTGGCGAAGGGGTCGAATCGGTGAGGGATTCTAATCCGCATGATTTAGCATTACCAAGCTTCTAGCTAGAGCCCGGATCAAATGAGAGCAACGGTACAATTGTAGAATATTTAGACAGCAGTATAAACAAAATTGCCAGCAGAAGGTTGGGCACAGGGGCAAAGCGGAGCTTCGCCCCCCTTGCGATACACCACGAACATAAAAAATAAGAAGATAAAAAGAAATTAAGAATGGAAAAAAACTAGGTAAACCACAAGGCAAGCGTTTCTTTCCATTGAACCCTTCATCTCAGGTTTCAAAGGGTAGTTTATGAAAAGTCAAACAATTTCTAAAAAAAAGGTATAACGTTCAAAGATTTGACTTTTCAGAATCCATAACATTTTTCTGCAAAAGACGGAACAGGCCGCTTAAGCAGAGAATATTTCCAGAATGGGGTTAAAGCGGGTTTCTCAACAGAAGTAACCTATGAACTAGCTTGGTAGTTTTCGAAAGAAGTCAAAAAGTTTTTAAAAAAAACGGTACAGAAAGCAGGTATTAAAAAGTTAGAGTGCCATATCTTTCGTTCAAACTATTTTTTGGAAAAATGGGTCATGGAGAAGAAATTCAGACAACCTGTTGTTTCGATTGAACGCAAGAACTCAAGGTATGGACGGGTAGTTTTCGAGCAAAGTCAAATAATTTCAAAAAACGATACATAAAACATGTATTAACTTTTTCGAGGGCCATAAATTTTGTGTTTAAAAAATAGGCATAGTAGATTATTCAGGGCAGTTTCCCACAACCCATTGATCCGATTGAACTTAAAACTTCAGACTTGGGACGGCAATTTTCAAGAGAAGACAAGTTCAAAAAATCAAAAAGCAAAATTTTGACTATTCCATGGGCCATAACTTAACGTCTACAAAAAAATTTGGCGTAGCCGCAGTTGCAGAAAAAACTTCGACAAAGAAAACCTTCTACCTAATGAACCCAAAATCTCATATTTGTGATAGTTGTTTGAAAAAAAGAGAAAAAAAAATTGAAAAAATTTGGATCAAACAATTCCTCCAAAGAATTTTTCGAAGGCTGTAGAAAAAATGATGAAGTAAAAAGAGATAAGAAGATTATGCAGGCATACAGATGAGCATGAGTCAGGCCTGCCAACTTTTATAAAACGAAATATGAACCTGGGACCAAATCTTGAAAAACGAACTTTATATGAACCTAAAAGAGCATTTTCTAACTTTCAGAAAAACATGGTCAATTAAACTATTTATTTCTTGACAAATATTGAGTCAATAACAACTGCAGACTGTTGATCCAATGTGACCACAGAAACAGTTCGTTGGTTATGGAGCAGTTCCTTCTTCTTTTCAAGAGCTTTTTTAGCCTCGTCAATGCTAGAATCAGCTTCGTTCAGCTGGTTCTTGAGAGCTAAAGGAGTCATTCGCTTGAAAACATGCAGTTCCTCTCGAAAATCTTCAGCATGCCCTCTTTTCCGTGAATTTTCTTCTACTTTCGACTCCGTGGATTTCTTATATTCAGCTGTTTGGCGAACTGTGTCACATAACTCAGCTGGAAAATTGAACGCCTTTTCGAAATCGTCGCGGCTAAAGACTTCCTGAATGATACGCACACTGTCGTATGTTTCTGGCAAAAAAAAACAGTTCTGGTGTTGACTCTCAGCGAACTTCATGCGCCAGAACCCTGATTCAGTGTTCATGTTATGCGGGCAAACTAGCAACACAAACTCACATAAAGATCCCAAAGACTTCCACTATGGCAACAGTGATTTCTCGAAGCACTCTCGCAAGGATAAGTTTCCATTCATACACAGCTTAGCAGCAGCAAACTCTTCTAGGACATCCACACTCACTAGGCCGATAAAAATTAGCCAATAGGGCAATTTTGGTAGGAGATTCAATCTCCGAAAGTTGCATGAAAACAATATGACAATTCTTAGTCAGATGGCTGACAAGGAAAGGTTGAAACCTTGTGAGCAAAACTTGTAGCTGCAAAGCAGTTTGTTTGTTCCATGATACAATGATGGACTGTTCTACATGCTTTTCAAGCGAATACAGAGCCGACTGAGCTATAGGAAAATTTGAACAGAAAAGTTTTTTGTTCACAGGCGAGAATACCATGGGCACAACAACTCCGCTTACCAATCATCGTACTACAGTTATCTGTCATTGCGTATAGCATTTTGTGAAGTGGAATGTCGAAAAATTTGAGAGCATCAATAGTTGCATCAAATATATTCTGCGATGACACGAGCTTGAAATCAGAAAGCGATTTGGTATTTGTAGACACAAAAGAGTCAGTATCAACATTGACATTTAGTTCCATGGTCCTCAAATATCGATTTTTTCGAACACCGTCCGCATAGTTAACAACCCAGAGATCAACCCTTGTTTTACCATTATATGATGTTTCGTCGAGATGAATACTAGTACCAAATACAAAAAATTCTATTAAAAAATGGAAAATAAACTAATGGAAACTGGGCCGAAAACCACTAGTCCGAAAAAAATCAACCGTTTTTCAAGAAATTTATTAGAAAATACAATCAAATCCCAAAAAGCACTCCACCTACTCACTACCTAGATAAGGTAGTTTTATTTGGATTTTCACGAAATTGAGCATGTCAGCAGTAGTATCAACTGATTTAACTGATTTTGTGAAACTATTTCTTAATGCGAAAAAAAAATAATTCCGATTTGAAAACGCTTGCTAACCGCAAGCAAAAAAAGTAAAAACTAGAGAATTCTAAAAAACATATATAGTAAAAAATTTTAAACATTTTTTAAATTTCGAAGAAACACATCAGATTAATGCTCTCTGAACTTCAAGAAAAATTATTGGTTGACACTTTTAACTATGATTTTGTTTAAAAGCTTTGAAAACTAAATGAGTCATTGGGTAATTTTTTTTATTCCGCAGGGAAATCTAAATCCACTTTCAAAACTAGAAGGCTCTCACACATTTTCGCCTCATTTCCATTTGTGTAATTGGAGAGCTCAGTTTACCTAACTGTTAGCAATTGAATTCAAAAAAGCATATATATTCATTGCCTTTATAAATATATTTCATTAATATATTTAAGCGCTTAGCAAACACTAGCAAGAACAGGACAAAAAGGCAGCTCTATAAAATGAAATAAGAAAAACTGAAATATACCTCGAATTACTAAAAAAAACTCAGATTAAGAGTCACACGCAACCCTAGCCACAAAAAAAAGAGAACAGATGCTATGCAACTTATAACGCTACAGTGAAATTTCCAAATAAGTGAACACTTTTAATGAAGTTTAATTTGCAAGTTAGCCGAGAAAAAAGAAGGTTCTTAATAACATACTAAGCTGACGCTAGAGAAATTAATGCCCATATTGAACGCAGCGAATAAACCCGACTCTATAAACCCGATCATAGTCAGATTAATTCGCGGGTATAATACTGGCATCAATAGAAAACTGGTAACTCTACACGCTTTAGATATCGCCAATCAAAAACTTTTAAACCCTAAAGAACTTTCAATTCTACCAACAAAGTTTAAAAAATCAAATCTGGTCAAATTTTGTGCATCCAAGAAATCAAAATGGTCTGAATAATTTTAATTTTCCCCATAATTCTTTGTAAAGATAAATTTGGTCTGAAAAAACTCTGTATACCTGCAGGAACATCTGATTAATTTTTTAAAAATTTCATTTGACAAACAAGTGCCACCCAATTAAAAAGAGTCTTTCAGAAAGACTCGTTGATAGGTTAAAAAGATGATAAACCTTCTTCCAAGAAGAAACCTGACCGAAGAAGTTGTCACGCACTGGATTCGCACGCCAACCGCACTCAATGAAAAATTACATTTCCAGGTTTAAAAAGGTTGATAACTCTAGTTTACAGTCTGAACGCATACTACTGACAGTCGTTTGTTTTTACTTCGTAGCTCTTGCTTTCTTTGACATGTCATTTTCATTGTTCTACTTTGATGAAATAAACTGTTCTGCTTTTCAAAAACTTTCGCGAATTCGAAACTCTTATTTCGGCCACAAAAAAACAGCCAACGACTATTGGAAAAAATTCGATAAACTCAAAAAAATAAAATATATCACTTTTAAGTTCTTTTATTTCCAAGAAACTTTTATGAATACCCTTCTTTTTTATAAAAATAACTTAATATAAAAAAAATTGGATCAATAGATACTTTTTTACTCCGCTGGGAATTTTGAATATTAAAACAAACTAGCAAGTCTTTCGCCAGTAATCAATCAGCTCGCAAAAAATAGTTGCTGTTCTGATCAAGCTATGAAACTTCGAAATCTCAAGCTGAGCCAGTTCGTAAAGCGGCTTGAAAACTTTCATAGAATGAAGCAGTTACTTTCATAGAACGAATCATAGAACGTTTCATAGAACGGATCAGTTCTCGAAAAACTTTCATAGAACGTTTCATAGAACGAATCAGTTCTCGAAAAAATGAAACTTACTCTGAGCAAGCTATTCAAGCTATGAAACCTTAAAGAATTCATGTTAATTTCGTGAAGCGAATCGGAGTGCGGAAAGTTTTTCTACGCAAAGCTGTTCAAGCTATTAAACTTCAATATTTCAAGTAATTTCATGGAGCGAATTGGTTGGCAAAAACACTTACATTTTACTGAAGCAAGTTCTTGAAGCTATAAACAATTGAAATGTTTCGAGTTGTTTAGATCAAAACATTATGCGAAAATTAACTTTTTTAAGCGAGCTGATGAAGCGAGCTAATAGAGCGAATCAGTTCGAAACAAAATCAAAATTCATTTAATCGAGCTATCGTAGCTATAAAAAATTGAAATATTTACAAATTATGTATTAGAAGGAAACGTTTCGCGAAATTAAGTTTTTCTGCGCGAGCTAATCGAGCCATGAACTTCAAAAAATCCAAGCGCTTCGTACACCGAATCGCTTTACCACCGAATCGTTTTACCAATAATTCCAGTTATCTATAAACCGAATCAGTTTGCGAAAAACTTTAAGTTCTCTGAAAGTCTTAATGCGCTATGGACGCAACGTTTTAACTTTTCTATCGAGTACAACGTTTAAAAAATCACTCTCTAGCGGGAATATTCTAGAAGTTTATTTTTTCAATCCAAATATAGAAGTTTCAATCCAAAGTCAGTTTGTCTTGAAGTTTTGGTAAACATATTCAATTTAGAAATTTGAAAGACTAACGCCAAAGTTTGAAATTCTCAAAGTTATATTGATGCTGTAAGAGCTTTTCAGGGTTCCAAGCCTTGCCTCCAAATATGTCAACTCAAATCCTATTAGCTTCCGAGATATGACGTTTTTTGGTGATTTTTTGAAAACTTTTCGAAAAATTTAGATTTAAAAAACTGCAAACAATTTTAAATTAGCAACACTATAGTAAGATACTGTCGTAGTTCTTTCAGGAATTGCAAATCCGGCCTCCAAATTCGTCTTCTTAAATCTTTAACGTTGAGATATGACGTTTTTATGTTTTTTTTTGAAAAGTTTTCAAAAAAGTTGTATCTAAAATCTCAGCAGAATTTTAGATTTGCAACCCTTTAAATGGGTACTGTCAGTATACTTTCAGAAGTTACAATACTCTCCTCCCAGCTATGAAACTTTGAAAAATTTCGTGGACCGAATCGGTACGCGAAAAGTTTCAGTTTTTCTAAGCAAGCTTTACAGCCACAAAACTTTGTATGACAAAGCTATGAAACTTTGAAACATTTATATTTATTTCAAGGACCGAATCGGTTTTCGAAGATAAAAAATATCTCAGCATGAAGGTTGCTGTTTTCAGTTTATTCGTTTCAGACTGAATAGAATCTGTAAACGCAAAATTTTGGACAAAAATAGGCAAATACTGACCAGCCTTGAAGCTGGATTGAGTTCATCTTTCTCTGATTGTTGCTTTGAATGAATCTTAACCGTTAAACTCGATAGAAAAGTTAACACGTTGCGTCCATAGCGCATTAAGACTTTCATTTAATATATAAGATTTTTGATATCAGAGGTCAGTCACAATTTTCGAATCGCACTTTGAACTTTTGACATGCATTTTGATCTCAACATTTGAATTTTTTTAAATCAAAGAGCGTACTGAGCCCTCCTTTAGGCAAACAAATTTGAAGTGAATTTTGAAAGCCAAACAGCGAAAAACCAAAATCAAACGTGAACAATTTTTCAACCTCTTTTCTACAGTAGCTATATCAACAGTACCTATAAAAGTGTCTTCGCTGCATTCCTTGACTCTTGAAATCATTGAAAAAAAAAACGTTGATAGATGATTTGAAGATGTTTAAATGCGGCACAAAATCCATTATAATTCCATGACCTGCGCAATAAAACTTGCTAACAAATACAGACAGGAATCGATGCTTCTTGAAAATCGATTTGGCTTATGCAGTTTTAACTACCGCAATAAACTAAGCAATTAAATGTGCGACTAGAACTGGAAAAAAAGTTTCCGGGTTCCGCGTGTCACATACTTCCATGTAAAAAAAATGCGAGCATAGTAATACTTCCGATAACTAACGAAATTTTATGGGCAATGGACTACAACAACGTCTTGACAATCTTTTGAGGAAAACATTGTCCCAAATCTTAAAAGCTGGAATTTTAAGCTGTGCTGTAATTCACAAAGCGAGCTATTTCAAGTGAGCCATGGATCAGTTATATTTAAATATCGGCTGTTTAACTTAAAAAAATAGAGTTTTTAAAGTAAAACGTAAAGTTGAAAATTGTGAAAAATAGAGAAACGCCAATATAATTAGAATCACCCGCCCATTTAATCATGCGGTAATTTAACATTACTTAGAGCTTTACAAATGAAAAGATCCAAAATATTCAATACATACTGGTTGCTTTTATGTTATACGGCCCCGATTTCATCATTTTCATTTTTGAAAATTAGATAATTATGGTTGAAGCTGATTGTTTGAATTTAATTAAATCGAACATGTCTGGAACTTAATTTCAAAGATAATCGGATACTTTGAGACGCCTGAAAACCGGTTAGTAATTTAGATCAGGTCTTATGGCGCTCGCTCAAATATGTTATAGAAATTTGAAATCAATGTACTAGCACTAATATTAGATAACAGCTCATTCGACGTTTTGGTAATTTTGAGCCGCATAACCGGAAAGATCCTACATACCTGTTCTTGACGCCATCCTCCCCACTTGGACTCTGCCAGGGGTAGCCCTTCATCTTAATAGTGAAACATTCCTCCTCGTACTCCGCCCGCTGAATACCCTTCCAGTTCTCCGCAACTACGTACTTGATCGCGTCGTTTATTTCAGGCGGACAGCTGTTTATATATTAAGCAGAATTGAGATGATAGAATAGGTGAACATTTTGAGCTATTGAAATTTAAGGCTTATTCCCCTTAATTCTTTTTTCAGAAACCTTTGGACTGGGTTTTTTTTTGTACTTAAAAATGGGGGCTGCTAAAAATGTACGAGTCAGAGTGAGGTGTTGAGTAAAAAAAAATGTCGCCTGATTCTTACAAAATTCTTAAAAGGCCATTTCTCATAAGTTTTTAAGTTTGGCACGACATTCAATAAACCAATTTTAAAAAAATTTGTTATGATACACAACTAACCTTGTACAATCACTAGTTACTCCATCGAACTAATATTTGTGCAATTTGAAAAAAAAAAAACCCATAACATGACCCCCTCCCCTTTGCGAAGCACTGATTAGCTCGACCACCCAATATTGCGGAAATTCTCCATTTTTTCTCGCTAGTTTAATCGATCACTGTTTTCTGATAACAAGTTCATTTCAATTTCTTATTCCATGTTCACAAATCTTAATAGCAAACTCAATTATAACATTTTGCTGAAATTGTGATGAAAACTAGATGCTGGTTTTTATTTTAATTCCACGCTATGTGTGAAATCCGAACAAAAAACGTAGTCCAAATAACTTGGCCAAAACGTTGCTTGAAAAATCACCATTGTAAACAAAGCTATCTCTTTCTTTCAATATAAAAAACAACTTGGCCACGTATTCTATCATGTCACCTGAAAAGTTTAAGTTTGTCCCATCCCCAAAGGTCAATGGCACAGAACTCGATGTCAGTGGCGACATTGCAGGGAGACTTGTAGAAGAACCAGGCACTCAGATCACTGTACCAGCAGAAGTCTCCGGACATGACTTTGATGTAACCTGCCTGCAAAAGAAGCTAGATTCAAGTTGTAGTTTGTGTCACTCATTTCAAAAGCAAGAAAGAAGAGATATTATTCAAACTTACTATTCCTATACCACCTTAGTGACGAGAAGGATCTTTAATCAGTTGTTTTTTTAGAGTAATCTGAAAAAATACTCTTAGAACACCAAAATTGGTATCATGTCGAACACGGTTTGGTCGTGATTTGATTTCAAAAAGATATTTCAACACAAAAGCGAACCAAAAAAAACATGAAAAAGCAAAAGCCGATCTTGAAAAATCAACATCAATAAATAAGGAAATCCTCAGATACTACCGGTTTCAAGTTTGGAGCCCCCAGACCAATTTTACCAAAAAAATCTAGACAAAATTTTTGAAAATCTAGTTCTAAAAAACTAATTTCTAAAATTTCACAAAGCGCTTCTCAGGCACCAAAATTTTATAGAAAAATCTGAAAAAAAACAATCATTTTTAAAACAGCCGAAGACAGTTGGAAAGAATAATGAACTCGAGAAAACATTTTGAACATTTCTAACTTCTGAATTTCGGAGAAAAAAAATATCACGATAAAGCTCTTTGAACTTCAAAAATCTTTTATAACTGACACTTTTTCTTTGATCAACAGTTAATTTTTATTCCTCTAATAGTTCTAAAAATTAAAGCCCTTTGAACTACTTTGAAACTGAAAGTAATTCTTGTTTTTTTTCGCGCCATTTGCAATTTTGTTATTTTAGAGCGTTTTTTTTTCAGCCACTTAATCTGTGATTTGAAGTGTTCTGTGAGATGCTAATCCACACACCTTTATTAATTGACAATAATCAGTTCCAATTTTTTCAGTTTTCGGCGAAAAAAAACATTGAGCGATGTTTCGCCCTGATGTAACTTTCGACATTACGAAAAATCTAGAAACTTTGTATTCGCGTGTTTTAATTTTTTTTTCACTTAAAATCAGCTACCAAAAAAAATCATCGGAGAGAGTTGAGTGATACATCAATTTAAAACCCCTTCAGTCGCGAGACTCGAACATAAAAAAACTCAAAATTTTTTTCCCGTTTCGAGTTAGCGAGCAGGCTTTTAAGATCATTTATCCACGGGGGAAAGGACCAACACAAGAGCTGTACAGCTCATCACGGCGAACCGCTGTTGTGCCCCTGTTTAAGAACTACATGCAATTATTTTTTTTGGTTATTTTTCTGGGATGGGTAATGTTTCTTCACCCTCAAGCAACGAGCACGGATCATGGTGGGCCTCGAACATCTGACCTTTCGATTTAGAGGCGGAGACGTAACCACTTCACCACCGCTCCCAAGGCTTCGAGTGAGCGAGCAGGCTTGAAAAACTTTAATTTATTAGGTTGAAAGCGTACACTTGCTTAATATAAGTCGGTAGAATCACACAGACTCTTTTTGTTGCACTACAATTGCACTTTAAAATCCAGTGCTGCCTGATTGACTTGTTCGCACTTTTTCAAGGTCTCATCCATTTTTACAATAGTATACCAACTCTTTAGCAACAGAAACAGAGCTGCAAAACGTAAAACAGAGCTGTTAAAAAGCACATTATCTATTCTATACGAATTGTATGCAAGAGCTAGTGCTTCAAACCGAATTGATGTTTCATGGCGAAATTTGAGCAAAATTGGCGGATTGATCTTTTCAATAAATTTTACCTGTTTCAAGTTATCGCTACTTACTGTATCTGATGTATCGACATTATTTTACTCTTAACTTAGCCAGAAACTAAAGCTTGGATCTACTTAAAAAACTGCTCCCTACCCGAGGGAGAGAATGATAAGTAGATTAAATCTGTCGAGTTTTTGACCAATCAAAATGCAGCGCAATTAGAACTTTCAATAAAAAGCTCTTGTGCTAATTTATGTTTTTATTTATAGTGGTGGAGATTCTTTAGAAGATACCAAAGGGTGATTTTTAAGTAGATCCTCAGGCTTTCTAAGTATGTTGGAGTTGGGTTATTCGGACCCCAAAATTTATACCGAAAAAGAGGCTCGGTTAATTTGATAAGAATTTTGCAACGCCTATAAACTCAATTGTTCAAAAATTATACTAAAACAAGCAACATACTCAACCCAAAAGAATTTAAGCAGGACTAAAAGTCTGAAAAAATGTGTGAATTCATATTATTTATAAGAAAAATGTGAGAATTTCACGACCGTATTCTTTTAAACTTGCTGAATCAAAAAAATTGTTTTTTTTTATTAGAATTACGATGAAACCAAACTACTATGACACAAATTTTGACTAGCCAAAACAAGCCCTAAGTGCAAAATCTTCGCCAACCTCCTTGCCATTAAAATCTAATTCAATTCGATTATTGAATATTCGTAATCTCGATTTAACAGCATTCAAAGCAATGAAAAATTCGATCATGGGGAAAATTAATTAGTGCCGCTAATTTGCAATAAAATTTTCAATATAATGCTTGCTCATCACATGCATAAATTTTAATCCGATCGAGCAGAAATGATTAAGTGCCGCAAATTTTCTATTTTTAACAAGAATAGTCGGTTGCTGTGCAAAAAAATCGGACCAGTTTTTTCTTATTTTTTTTTCAAATTAGAGCAGTTTTTCGTTCGTGTAGTGATGAGATTATTATACGAGCGCGTAGAGTAAATTAAGCATCGAAAACAGCTGTTTTCAAAAACTGAATAACCAAAAAATGAAACAATATTTTTTCTTATAGTTTTGCAATACATTTTTTTTTTGATTTTTTTACGAAAATTTTATTAACAAGCAAGCGCTAAATGAAAACTGTGATTTGCTCAAAACTTGAAAGAAAAAATTTCATTTCATAAGGAAGGCCTGTTTGCGCGCTGTAATTGCCCGATGAGCACACGTGGTACCTTGTAATTGCAAAATAATTTGAGATATTTGAGCTCACAGAATAGTTAATGATAGAATTCCGGTAAAGCAGTATGTATTATTCGAAAAAAAAAACTTAGTTAAATTGCACTGAAAACCAATGCACGAATCTAGATAATTACCCTTTGACTTTTTCTGAAATTGGTTTTACGGAAGTCTATTACAGTTATTTTTGGATGTTCTTAGACTGCAAATCAACGAGTAAGCGTGAACAAATGATCATACAGTTACAACATTTCTTCCACAAAAGTTGCGGTTCGATCAAAGTTAAAAGCAAATTTTAATTGTAATTTTACGAGGCGTAGTCAAACCGGAAATGAATATATTTAAACTTTGTAAAGATCATGGTCGATATTGCTACCTGAGAGAGCTCTTTCAGTAAGGCACAGGCGAAGTTGAGGAAGTTTCTGTGGTCAGTTGAGGAATAAATTGGCGAGAAAGGATACCCACTACATTTGAAAATGACAGCATCTGTTCGCATAGATTCCTTCTGAATACCTAAAACGATGCCAAGAGATAGCTGAAAAGATTCTAATAAGTTCAAGACACCCAAACACGTTTCTTGTTGATCTCCCAAAAAAAACAGCTCACCCTAAAAAATTTCAGGCAGGAAAAACAAATCAGATAAAATTAGAAATATATTAAGAATCGCAATTCATTTCGATAACAATATCATCATCAAGCATTTCTATCACTGAAAACAAAAACGATATAAAATAACGCAAGCACTTAAAAGGTTGAACAAAACAATATAAAAAGATGGCGTCAACAAGGTTCAAACAATACCAACATTGGAATGCGTGCTCGCCCGCTGCCGATTCAATTGAATCTGATAGTCAGTTCTTTCGAGGATTACTCATCTCTGGTGTTGATAGTAGGACCAGTTTGCCTATTACGTAAAATTACATTCTGCTGTTCAAGAAGAACTGAGTTTGTTTGCTCATCAGCAAAAGGGACAGTCTGACCAAAAATATACCGTGCAGTAAGTTTAAAAATGGCTAAGGGTGGATAATTCAAACGTTTCATTGATCACCCAAAAAGAAAAGAACAAACAATATACCAAAAATTATGTTCTTTTGAAGTTTTGGAAATTTTGTTACTATTTTACAAAACGAATTTTAGTCGAATGACACTGATGTTTCTAAAGGCGCCATCGGCATCAATTTTCGAGGGGAGCACGCGCCAGAAAAATAAAGTTTTTTTGATCAAAACGTTCCCAAATGCTCATAAATGGCACTTTTGGCCTGTTTTTTTTCTTCAAAAATTGCCTGCCAAAACTATATAACAAATAAAAAGCTTTCAATATGCTACAAGCAAACTTTTTTCGGATCAAATTACCGAAGAAAAATAAATTCTTCTAGAAGGTAAAATTCAAAGAGGTAGAAGATTTTTATTTCAACCAATGGCCAACTACTTAAGAAAAATAGATATTGTTTTGAACAGTCTTACCTTTCGGGTAGTGAGACTGGAGGCAGTTTCGAACCAGTGACACCAGGTTGGAATCCGCATTGAAAATGTGGATTTGGTCATGAAAGAAACTGATTATACAGAATGGGATGGCGGGGTTGTTAGCAGGAAGTCTCGTGTATGAAGCACCCATTCTATTTCTCTGGAATAGTCGCACTTGGATATTATTTAAATTCAACTAATGAGAAGGAGCGAGGAAAAAGCACGAACTCTAAATTTCGAGAGCACACTTTTTTGACCTTTGGTTGAAATATGCCAACTTAAAACAACTCGAAAATACTTAACAGGCCACTTCAAGAAAATTCGTTCCAAGCTCCTATTACACCGTGCTAGAAAAGAAATTAAGATCTAGTGCTTGAATATCTGGTTCCATTACAGAAAAAGTCACAATCAATTCCCAATGGCATCTGTTGAAGGTTTATCTTTTCGGGTTAAAATTATATGGATGAAGATGCACTAAACCCATTTAACTAAACGCCCGTCAAGTTTTTCGGAAACCATATTTAGTTATATTACATTATCAACTTCAAGTAAAGGAACATATCAATAACTCTATTTGATTGAAAGATTTCCTTTTACGAATGCCTTTTAACAAGCAGTTAATCCATAATGTTTAACTTCATATCGTCAAAAGTATGACAAAAGTATAAAATACCTGATTCAAAAAATGGAGGTCGAAATATGCTGCAGCACAAATGACAAGTAAAAGTTATTCGATATTTCAGCTCGAATATTTATTGAACAGGTTGTGGTCACAACAAACAGTTTTAATAAAACAGTTAAATTGGCGCTCGGTAAATTAGACGACAGGACAATAGGACGACAGGATAATTAGACAAAGAGCTACTGAGAAGAGCAAAAATTTTTGCAGTCCTTTTATTGGTTACATATTTATCAAAAACTAGGCATGCAAATTTCAAAACCTCTACCGATGAAAAAATTGCCTGAATTTTTTGGTGATGGAAGTCCCTTCTTAAAAAGAACATACTAATAAGTAGTATGCAGTATCTTAGCAGCTGTCGTCTCCTTTTCGGGGCGCCTGTTAACATGACAGTTAAAAGCTTCGCAATCACATATCTACTTTTTAATTTATAACCCTTATGCAAGTCAAAACAAGACCTACAGGTTCCCACGACCATACATATAAAAAAAACTGAAGATGGTGAAGAGATATGCGAGCTAACTATCAAAATTAATCGTCTCCGGAAGTTATAGTTCAGATTTTCAGATAAGAAACCCCATTAAGTATCATTTTGTTTGTTGTTTTTAAATTAAACTTGATTTATACGTCTGATAAATATTTATACTGGAAAGTAATTGCAATCTTTTGAGCCTTTGCTTATGTTTGATTTTAATGACATAATCAAAAAAGCTGGGAATTAGCATAATAATGAATACGCAGGAAGTGCTCAGCGCCGACCACGAATAAACGGAATAATTAAACACGGCCAAAACGAACGATGAAAATTGGGTATTTTCTCCTAACTGAGCTTTAACTGCTCGTTTAAAACTTTGAATACAATATCTATCACGTTGAAAGCGTAACCCGAATTATTAACCCGCGTAATACAAACAAGACTGCTCATATATCAGGGCGAGTCCCTGAATGCTCCGACTGCACTTTATGGTCCATTAAAATGTTGTTTGGTTGAAAAACTGACGAAAAAAAATAGAAAGGATTTTTTCTTCGTTTTCCCCCTCATAAGCTATGTAAGATATAAAGGGTGTGTTTAGAGCCTCCTATTGATTTAAAAAGGACTAATTTGCAGGCCTCAACTTAATTTGCATCGCAAAAATTTGCTGCTTACGAGTGTTGCAAAGATTCGTTGCTTAGGAGTGTTAAAAGAACGCTTCATATCGCGCAGCAGTTTTCAAACCCACGTAACCATACTTTTTTAAGTTTGAGCTCACAGCCACGCAAGCTTAATAACCGACAAACACTAGTCACGAATAAAGCAGCTACATATGCTAATAAATTGCCAATGAGATGCAGCAAAAGTGGGATCAAATACAAAAACACTACTCTGCATGTAATAATTTGGAATATAACAGACTGAGGCATCCACACTAACTTTGCATGTAATAAAGTAGGTAAAATTATACCAAATCATGTATAAATTATGACTTTGAAATAATGCAAGACTTCTTGAAATAGAAAAATATGAAAATCAAGTTTTAATTTTTGAACTAGTAGTTAAAACAAGTAACTTTTTTCGGTTCATGAGATGATTTAAAAATGCATGACCTGTATTATTTTGTTACTAATCGAATGTCAAAGCACATACTATCAAAGTCCGTATGAGTGCCACTAAAATTTTATATAAAGGTAGGAAAAAAGAATTACCCATCTATTAAACTACGCGCGCTACAGCTTCAATGAATTAAATGAGACCAAGAATCCTCTTTTAATTGAATTTCTTAAATTTCCAGAAAAAAGTTTCCAGAAAAAAAAAACAATTGTCAACTTAGATCTTTTTGAGCTTCAACAGTCTTCATAATCACTTTTCATACCAAAAACAACAGACAATTAGATGTATGTAAGTGGTCTCAAAGCAGCTGAAAAAAATTACTGGCATTTCTTATGAAAACTTTCCAACTTCTGAGTTTCAAAAATTTATCATATTATCATTTAATTTTGATTTCAAAAAACTTATTGATTTTAAAATGAAAACTAATGCAATTTGAAAGCGCTGGATCAATAAAAAAAATTATACTGCTGGAAAATTTTAAGATCAAAACTACTTGCAAACGAAGATTCAATTGCGTTTTTGACCACATTTTCACTTTTGTTAGAGAGCCTAACTTTTTGTTGTATCAAAATTAACCCAAAAAGAGAAAATTTGATCACTAAGACACTTTTTCAATCCGCTGTACGCTGGGGATTCTACAAACTAAAAAAACTATTAGTGAAACGAATTAAACTAACAACAGCTAGCTATCAATTTTGGAACTATTAAAAAGTAACGTTTTTATTACGATGTGGATTCTCCAATTTAACAAAATCCATTTCTGAAACTAATTTTAAAAATTAAAATACAACTATAAATAAGTAATTTTTTATTACGTTGGGGATTTTCAGTACTAACAAAAAACATTTTTGAAACTATAACTCCTGAAAGAATGTCCAAAAAGAAACCAACACATTCAACGCACAATTTCAAACATCAAGCAAAGTCCATAGATAATGGACCTTGCTTGACGTTTTTGTAGAATATACAATTTTGTGAAAAAAAAAAATTCAATTCAAAGTATGAAACAAAACACAGAACATTTAAACGATACTATTTTGTAAAACAAACGTCGAGCAAAGTCCACAGAGAATGGGATTCACTGGACGTTTTCGTACAATATACAAATTTGTTAAACAAAACTTTCGTCTGCCGATTTGTTAAACAAAAGGTGGCATCTCAACGTGCCTGAAGGTACGTTTTCCGACAATGTCAAGTGTTATTCCGACATTCAGTTTGCCGAAAGCAAAAATCTGCTTTAATTTGATGGACTGCATTCTTTTAAGCGCTAAGTCATTGCTGCTCGTGACTTAAGTTCTTTTGTCTTACAACTCTGACTGTTTAGCAGCTCAGGTCTCGTTTTTGTTTACATTGGAAACGTTTTTAAGAAATAAAATGTAAAAAAATCTAAAACCTATTTAGAATGAGATGTTTATTATCTAATTACCACCTGTTAAGTGTGCTGATGACAATAATTGTACAGATGATATTTAACTAAGATGACAATTAAAATATTCTTCACGTATCTTCGGCAAACAGAAACTTCGGCATATTCGACCTTCACCCTGAACAAATTAAATTGCAAGACATTTTCTATTCATTATTGTATGCAATATTTATTTAAATGCAAGTTGTGCGAGCAAAACTAGCCAAAATTTCTGCTAACATCTCAGCTACTAACAGAAAAAGACTACTGACATCAAGGCGTAGCTTTGAATGTTCCGACTGCTTCAAAAAATGATAGGGATTCATTTTTATTACGATGGGGATTTTCCAAACTAATAAAATCCATTTTTGAAACTTATTGAAAATATTAATAAGCAACTATCAATAAAAAAAACTTTTTATTACGTTGGGGATTCTCAGAATAAACAAAATCCAGTTTTGAAACTATAACTCCTGAAAGAATGTCCTAAAAGAAACCAATACACTCAACAGACAATTTCAAACATCAAGCAAAGTCCATAGATAATTGACTTTGCTTGACGTTTTTGTAAAATATACAATTTTCTTTAAAAAAAACATTCTATTCAAAGAATAGAACAAGACAAAAAACATTCAAAAAGTACAATTTTGTAAACAAAACGTCAAGCAAAGTCCATAGATAAAAACTCGCGATAATTTCAAAGACGGAGCAATTTCAAAGGTGGATTTGGAGCGATTTGAAAGACGGATTAAAACTCCGCTTACGCCTTATGAGCACAAAATATATAGCGAGTTTATTACCCCAAATTGGCGATCTTTAAACATCATAAAATTACGAAAAAAAAATATCTTTTTCAATTTGAGCTCAGAACAACAATAACTCTCGAATGATATAAAGTACGTGAAGTCAAAAGTCAAAATTGGTCTGCAGAAAAAACACCCGAGCACAAATATTCCGTTATTTTCTTCGAAAGTCGGAACAATCAACGAAATGGGTAATTAATGAAAGCTCGCAAAATTGTTATTTATAGCAACCAGTTTGAATTTTGGTTATCGAGGGAAAAATAAACATAAATACTTACGACAGCAAAGCAGCCGGGCGTGCAACAGGGAAAATAACAGCTATGACTGCGCACAGCGCTATCTGAACTTGAAAATAGCGGGAAATTTTGAGCCCATAATCTCAAGATTGCAGACCAACAGCACTTCGATCACGTCACATGTAAACCGAAACAAAATATTATACGCACCAGATAGCATGTCTTAAGTACAAATTTAATTCAACTAGTTACAAATTTAGTTCAACGAGTTACATATTGAGATTTATATATTATAAAATGATAACTGCTCAAGTGGGAAAATGTTATTGAGCGTATGGACTGAAAAAATTACCAAATTTTGAACCATTTAGGCAGCAAACAAACAATAGGCATATGAGAGAAATACGCGATTAACAAAAAAAATCGGTAACAAACCGATAGTTTTGATCAAAATCTAATTATGAAAATTCGAGGCCGTCGATATTCTCGAGATTCTATTTACTGGGGTGGCCGAAGCCCTCTCCTTCAGGGGGACTCGACCCAATAACCATCCTAAGTGTACTATATTTTACCATCTAAGCATTCAATTTTACTATTTAAGCATTCCTTTGTTAGCATTTAAGGGTATTATTAAAATTTGAAGGTACTATTTTATTATTTAAGCATTCTTTTTTTTAGCGTATTAGGGTAATATTACAATTTAAGGGTACTATTTTACTATTTAAGCATTGTTTTTTAACATTCAAGGGTATTATTACAACTTAAGGGTACTATTCTATTTTATTATTTAAGCGTACTATTGGTGCTATTTTACATCCTTTTTCGCCCCTTAAATTTTTTTAAATGGCGCTTTTGGGGCTATTATATCGTAGTTTAAAAATGTGAGAAAAATTATTTCCATCGGTTTTTTTATTCTACAGTTGATTCACAAAATACATCTGCTTTTCAAACTTAAAGCAACTTCTTCGAGAATCACCTTGAAAAAGACTTTGAAAAGAAAGCTGCATCTGTAACTTAAAAATCAAAAGATAAGAAAGAGTCTTACGGCCAGTAGAAGCAAAAAAAAACTTTAAGAAACTTTAGAATAACTTAAAAAGACAACACTGCTCGTATATCAAGGCGAAGCCCTGAATGTTCCGACTGCCTTTTAAATGTTCTGAAATACTTTTGGCAAAAAGAATTTTGATGAACTATAAAATTTGAAGTGTTGTTATTTTTGCCATAAACTAGCCTACAAATAGACGAAGTGTCAATTTTCCAACCTTCAACTTTTCCAAAAATGATTTCAGTTATACATTTCTATAATTGGACTTGTTGTCTTCATTGGAATATTTCGTTAAACTATTAATTTCAACCGCCTAAACTTCTCTTAAAAAACGAAGCCCTGAATGTTCCATCTCTCCTTTACCGTGTATGAATTAGTTTTTCTCATGATTTTAAAACTGATGAATTTTTCACAAAACTTTTTTAGCTGCCGAATCGCTTTGGAAAAATTTTGAAACGGAATTTTCTTCTAAGCGGAACTCAGAACTCTTTTAAGGTAAAATACAAAAAAGCTAGGTGAAGTCAAAAAAAAACATGTGCTATGTTCGAAAAATGTTGACCATGTTGAGGGACCATAAATTAGCTTTCCAATACATTATCAAAACTTCCGTCACTTTCATTAGCTTAAAATCACTAGAAACAAAAAAGACTTTATGAACCTTGGCTCTTTCTTATTTTATAAGGTATAATCTTCTAACCGGCATTTCTCGAAACAGATCAAAATTTTCATTTTTGTTTATTACTCATGGTATACGCAAAAATTCCTTGATCTGTTTAGAACTTACTTCAAGATGATTTCAATCAAACACATCCAAAGAAAGATGAGGCAAAGAAGCTGAAACGCAAAATTGAACACAGAGGCGAAGCTGTGATAAGCAAAAACTAACCAGAACACGACAAAAAAAAAGAGCTTTCTGAAGTGCAATAAGAAAAGGTTGAAATGATCCTCAAATTAAAAATACTGTCGGCTACTCTCGGATTCGATCTGCAACCCAGTTATTATGCCTCGGATTCAATCTGCGACCCGATATTTTGAGTCTCACACACTAACCACACAGTCACAAACACCATAAAATAATAGCCACACAAAGCAGTGAACAGATGCTACAGATCGTGATTATAGCAAAAATTTCATCAAATAAAATAAAACTTTTAATGAACACTTTTATTTGAAAATAAGATTGAAAAAAAAAGATTGGTACTGATAGATAAGCTACGCTCGCAAACACTTAATGTAATTAGATAACTAAAATTACCTGGAAGACAATTTCTTTGAGGATACCTAAGGCCCAACTGTAAGAAAGCTGCAGAGCAAGCAAAAAAGTCCTATATTCCAGATAGTTAACTCGAATCCATATTAAGAACACAGTGGCGAATGTCCCCTCGCGTATACAAACGAAGGGGACATTGAAGATCCATGAAGAGTGCTGATTTTTGGAGATCGCGACAAAATCCAGAATTTGATGTTACATTGAGATGTTTGATTGAGATGTTTGGCTGTGAGACGGAACATTCAAAATTTGCGCTATTCAATTTTTATCATTTTTACACCATCCATACTCAACGCGCTGGATATAACACCCCTGCATTTATGCAGTTGCCAAACGAAAGAGCACACATACAAAAAACTACTGAAGGGCTTATCAGCCATAGCCAAGAACACAAAGCCTAGCCGCATTCTCCTCGATTTTGAACGTGCAGCACTTAATCCTTTCGCTAGTCATATAGAGCGTTGCTTAAAGGCTGTTTTCATTTATTATCCGCTAAGCTATACCGACTAGGTGTGATATGACTTTTGCTCATTTAAGAAGTAGCCGCAACGCATTTCTATCACAAAAATGGATCAAAGTTTCTGTTCGTTCATGCTTTGAACACATTTCCATTTTGAACAAGCAAACTTGACGTTGTTGACGATGGTTCAATGCTTAGTTCGGAGATGTACAGTTTCGGAATCTTCAAGAGGATGGAGTAAGTTTCAATTGCTGTAATTATAGTGTAGAATGGTATAGGGGTGATTGGTAGGGTAGTTTGGAACATAAGATAGAATAGTATAGGGTAGATTAGCACAGGGTAGATTGGAATAGGATATAATGTCATAGAAACCATGATAACTTTTTTTCTCAAATGCTTTGCTAGTAAAAACCAGGCCGTTTTGAAGGCGCTTTGACAAAGCAGATAAAACAGTTGCTACCAAATTGCCCAAAATTACACTGTGCAGTGACTGAAAACGAACGCAGAAAATGAGCACAGTAAAAAATATTTTAGGTTTGAAAAATTAACTGATCTCATTACACAAGAGTCACTTGCCTTAAGCACAGTGCCAACCTTCCTGTCTGAGTGAATCTCATTGATCAGTCAAGACAGGCATCCACACATAGAATTTCATTGAGGCGATGTCCCTTAATGAGAAAAAATCCAAAAAATCATTACGCGGAAAAGTACGACTTTGAATGGCAAAGCTTTACCTCGTATTTTAAGACGAATATCTGTCTTTTAAACACGTTTTTAAATTATACTAAACAAAAAATGATTAGACTTTCAAGTTGAGGTGAAAACATAGCCACCAGGAATTAGGATTATACTCATTTTCTACTGTTTTATCTTATCCCAGGAAGGTCGACGGATCATGATGGTTTTTTCAGCTACTGAAACTTAGAAAATTTTCTGAGCCCGTTTCTTTTTTCTATCAAAGAGCGAAGGTCGAGCTCCATCTGAAAGAACTTCACACTTCAAACGGCCAGAATAGAGGAATGAGCTTCAACAAACTTCTAGACTTTACTAAAAAAAAAAGACTAAACGAGCCAAAAAAAATGTTTTTTAAAAATTTTTCGAAAACGGTTTAGGCTCTTTTCTACCCCCCTGATTTTTTTGAAATCCAATTTCCGAAGATTTTTTTGGCCTTTTGATGTTCTTAACTGTAATAAGACATGCCAGCGTGAACAAACTGTTGCTTTTCTTTACGAGTAAATTTCCGTATGACTTATTTTAGACAACTTCAGATTGTGATTTTAGGAAGTGGTGGGGAAAAAGGAAACATCCCGGATATATATACTACACAGACGAAGCACTCTTATGCACTTGTCTAGCATCCTGTGTTTCCTGTTTCTTATACAAGCCTTCAATGTAAACACACTCATTGTTGCTCTTGTAACTTCTGAGGCAAAAAACCTTTGTTATTCTTATATTTTCTGAGGTTCGATCCTAAAGTCAAGACTTAAACTGAAAATCTATATTTCCATTAATTAAATTTCTTAGTTAGAGCTCATTTACAGAAACAATAAAAAAACTCAAATTAGTATGCTCACAAAATTCAAAATAACAATTATAAACATATGTACAAATACAAGATTAGCTTCAAGTTTTAAATGCATAAACTGCAGAAATGATTTCATATTTCCCAATGGAACTTCATTTCCTTCTGTCTCTTCGCCGTGTAGTGCCTCTTGATGTCTGCGACGTTTGCGCTTTCTAAACAAGTTCGGTTCCAAACACAAGCGAAGCGGAAAAGGACTACGCGAATGATCGTTAATACTTTAAAATGTTAAAACACTTTTTTTCTGTCTACTTGAAGTCAAACGCAAACCATCAAAGGAAAACGGCGATGGAAAAATAAAAATCTGAAAAGTGGAAAATCCAGACCCGTTTTGCTCGACTTGAAAACTTTCAATTCTTCGTTCAACCGTCTTAGTTCAAAGGGTATCAATGGTTTCTTGCTATTTTGGAGGAAATTCTTTCCTAGGAAATTTGACAAGCTATTGAAAATTATAGCAGACATATCGGTTAAACTAAAATTCTTCAAAGCATAGTCTTGCTTTCATAACAGCAAATCAAGTTTTGTTCTGTTTTGGGAGCAATAATTTCAAAATAACGGACCCGATATATCTACTAAGTTTCTCCTAAGAACGAAAGACTCAAATATCCCACCTGACTTGATGACGCTTCAGTTCTTTCGGATTCTTTTTGTTGACTACTATTACGCTGAGGTTCATGGTTCCACGACAACTGCGGTTCTGTCTCCAAATCCTTTTTTGGTTCTGGAAACAAAAACAAAGCCGCAAGACACAGTATCTGGAAAACTGCCGAAGCATAGATGCAGTACTTGAGGCAAGTTTCAAAAAGTGTATCTTCGGGAATCATTTCGTTCACGTCAAATAGCTTTCCGTTGATGGTTGGAGGAGATGGCATTTTCACATTCCCCGAAATATATCGAGGAAAAAATGACGCTAGCACTGCCAAGCATATAGTACTCAATGCAAGATCCATCACATCTAAAACATTCAAAAAAGCGACCCTAGCAAACTTTCATAATCTATAAACGTCTGTTCACGTTACTCGAAATATTATGTGTATTTAACGAGCTTTCGTTCGTACCACTAATCAGAACTACACACTAAAAACAGTTTCCAGACAACAAACTTAAATTATCAACTGCTTTTATCCGACATATTGCCGCTATCTTCAGAATTATCATCAACAAGATCATCATCATCATCATCGTCAAAAGCATCCATAACATCATCAATATTCTCAGCATTGTTTATTACATCCGAACTTCTGTTTTTGTCTGTTAACTTCATACTTCCTAGACTCATAACTGCGATGAAATAATCCAATGCGGATCCAACCGGCTCACAGATCGTTTTAAGTTCTTCATATCGCGCAATAAGAGCTTTATTAAAAGCAGTCAGCTCATTTTTAGGCATCAATTCTTTAATAGCGTCTCGGTGAAAAAGTAAAATAGCTTTGCACCACATAAGATAAAACTCGATCAAATGCGTGACCAAAATCCTATTGGCTAAAAATCCAACCAATTGGAATACATATAACGTCGGCAAGAGTGACACTAAAGAGTCAACTTGGTCAGCGGGAATCGTTTCCAAGACTTGTTTCGTAAGTTCCAAATCCTTCAGTTTCAGACTGTATATCAAAGCAATTTGGTACTTTTTCTCCGCTAGACGCTCCTTAGTTGTTTGGGGTGAAATATCAGACGTAAGTTGGTAAGGATCGAAAAGAGTTTTATTATCAAGTGAGTACAAAACACAGCCTTCAGTGCACGCTGCGAGCCAATTTCGCCCTGAAGGACTGAATTGAATCTGGTCCACTTTTATCTCGGCCTTGAATGACCTTTGACCCAAATCTAGATTCTTGACTCCGGGTAAAGGTATTGCTCCCTCTTTACCTTTACCATCTTGCGCAACTCCGCTGTCAATTAAATCTTTATTTCCAAACTCGGTCATTTTCCTTCGGTCTAACATTTCGTTCATTCTATCAATAGAAAGATTCTGGGAAATCGCAAATTTTTGTACCAAAAGTGACTGACGTATAAAATACAGACACACATATTTCGAATGTCCGGCCGCCAGTAGGTAAGCTCCGTCAGGTGAGTAACATAAACTCGTGAAAGTCCTCGACTGCGCGGCAGACTTCGCAGTCGTTTGGTCTTTCACGCCTCGACCTATTCCCAAGTCATGTCTGCAATCAATCACATCACGAACCTCAAAATTCACAGTATCGATGATTTGAAGATTTGCTTTTGAAGTCGAGATTGCAGCTTCGGCTCCACTTGGACTGACAGATAAAGCCATGACTTCGTGGCCAATCAGAAGAGATTCAGCGCCTCCCTTTGAGTCGGAAACATTCCAAGACCTTACGTAACCATCTAATGATACAGTCACGAGATTCGATGTTATCGGCGTGAACTGAAGCGAAGTTATGGCTGAGGTATGTCCGCTTAATATTTCTAAAATAGTTCCAGTTTTCATAGACCAAACGAATATATCGAACATGTCAACAGCACACGATGCTACAATGTCAACTGAAACATCACAAGCCAACGCTGTGAACTGAGCTGGCCTGGGCGACGTTAGAGTCTTGAAATTCCTGTATCGTTTCAGATCGAACGCTCTCACAGTTCCGTCAAGAGAAGCACTTAGAACTATTTTACCAGATTGGGAATAGATTACGGACGAAACGGCCGACGAATGCTCCGAAAATGTTACTATGCAAAATGACGTTTTGGTCTGCCAAAGTTTCACTTTTCCATCGTTTCCGCCCGTGACAACAGACTGCTCGTCGGGAGAAAACGAGGCAGTTGTCACGACATGACGACTTGTGTGGCTCTGTTGCTTCAAGATATACGACTCACTTTGCCACTCCCAAACCAACAACTGACCCAGCACTTCGCTTGCTATTCCAATCCAGTCACCCGTTTTATTGAACCGAGTCGACGTAATTGGATGACTTGAATCGATACTCAAAGATTGAATTTGGATGAAATCTGGCAACTCGTAAAGATGAAACTCGCCATCGGACAGACCGAAAACAATCAATTTTGTTTTGCAATGGTAATCACAACAAACAACGTCGACACTTTGGTCGCTGACAGCTACTCGATGTTTTGCCGCTCGCGTATATTTGACGTCTAAATTAGGATACACAGCTTTAACTTCGTTATTTTTGTGTTGAGTTTTCGCATCTCGCTCGTCTTCTAAATCATCAACAGCGTGTAAATGAGCTCCTCGCTCGTAAATTTCGAACTCATTTAAGCTTTTGGAACAGGTCCAAAAGTGGACGGCGCCATCTCTGGATACTGTATAACAGTCGGGAGATATCAAACTGGCGAAGAAACATCCGACAACTGCCGACTTGTGACTGCCGAGAGAATAGGCGAAGAAGCCTTTGATCCACTCGGCGGCGAATACCCGAGAGGTGGCGTCTTCACAGCCAACGAGGACTAGCTTGCTATCTGGGGACCAATTGATATTCAATACTGTCCCGTAGCACCCACTCAGAAGTCGGTACAGTTTGAAGGGATTGTAGACGGCTACTGTACCTAAGCGAAGAGAAGAAGCTTAAAGAAAGAATTATCCGTTAGTCGAAAATTCATAACTTTAAAGTTTTGCTTCAACGTACTAATAAAGACACAGAATTGTTATTTGCGAAAAATTTAAAAACATATACTTGTTACGAGTAAAACATATTTGCGACAACGTGAGTTTTAAATCTGCAAAAAAACTAAGTCATCGAACACATTTTTTTCCGAATGAAAGGATTTCATTTTTCTCTTTTCAAGGTCATGGTCTTCAATTCGATCCTTCTGGAGGAAATTTAAACTATATTCATTGGCAAGAGAAATCTCTTCCACATACGGTAAAAAAAATACGGTAAAAAACTGTTGAACGGTAAAAAAAAATGCATTTTAAAAAGTGGTTTTTGATAATCCAACAAGAGTAGACGTTAGAAGACCAGATATTAGATCGAGAAAATATGTTATTAAAATTAAAATGTTTATTTTCATAGTGCTGCGTGGAGAACTAAACTCTCTTTCTTTCTCTTACCTGGCGCGTGGTAGACAAGGATGACGTCATTCTTGGCCACTGCAATCTTGGTCCCGTCTGGACTGAATGCGACGGCGGCAACAGGTGCTCTGAAGTCGAACGAGCGAATAGTTGCTCCACTCTGATTGGACACCACGGACGCCTTCCCCTCCTCATTAATGGCCACGGTTATGAACCTAGTTTACATATTGATATTAAAAACATTGGGGTCTCATCTATTATACGGCCCAAAAATTATCAAACTGTTAATGGAGCTTCTGTTTTTATTGAAAATGCTGAGATGTATTTTCGCTGATATGAATTTCAACCAATCAGATACCAGCATCATGATAAAATGTTCGAAATAGCAAAAAAATGGTTTTTCGGCCGTATGACAGAAAAGACCCCAAAAATGATATTACAAAACTGATGTTGAAGTCCAAAAAACGCCCCCTGCTCCCACAATTGAATTTCAGATTTGAAAAAAAGCGACATTGTCAAATTAGGATAAAGTTTTGATTGCTGAACAAAATCACAATTCTGAACTCATTTTCTGTTCATACCTTATAACGAAACTTCACGCATTAAGTCTTGGCAGCATTTAAAACTATCATGAAAATGAGAAACTTCCATAGTAGGGGTGGGGGTGGAAAAGAATTCAAAACCCTTCTCTAGAACCCAAAATTAAGGTCATAATAAATGTGCAATGAACAAGTGTAACATTTGATGCTCGGAAAATAAATCTAAGTGAGCTGATTAGTAACCAAAAGATTCGTATTGATGAACTCAAATGCTTATCTTCCGCAGTTTAGGTCAAATGTTCGATAATCTATTTCTGACGCCGTGCTCGCTATTTGTATCGCTCGATATATATGCTTTTATCAACTTTCGAAAATTGGGGAACAAATATCACATGAAAAGCGCTTTGAGTTTCCTGGATCTTTTACAATTGGCTTTTTTTAGCTAACCCAAAAACAGAAACTGGATCAATTGGATATTTTTTATTCCGCTGCTTTAAAAAATATAATGAAATACCGCGCATTTTTAGGACCTGTCCTTACAAAACCAAAAAAAAAACACGATCTCAATAAAAACAGGATCAAAATAAAAGATAAATCACTTTCTTCATTCACAGTTAATAAACGTGATATTTACCCATTGGGAGAAACATCAAAGCAGGTCAGATTGTGGTCGGAAACGGCGTCTACCGAATGACACACGTTGTGCCTCAAGTCAAACTTCACCAGACGATGTCCGAAAATACTCGTGAGAGTGGACGATGACTCACCACTTCCAGCGAATGAAATGTCGCCTCCCGAATAGACGCTGCCGAAACAGTTTTTGAACCGGTAGTCCACCTTCATTTAGGTTTACTCATTGCAAGTCAGTCTGAAAAAGGATCCCACAGTCTACAGTCGACGCTAAATTGTTCAGAACATCATTTTCGCTCAGTTTGATGAAAGCAACTTGCTTATTTCGTCACCGAAAACCAGTTTTCAACAAACAAAGCCAATAATTAGAAAATAGTTATGAACACATTTTTAGAAAGTTTCAACTTTCGAACTTCCAAGAAAAAAATAGATGGCCTTAGAGCGAATTTCTAAAACAATTTATGGTTGAAACTGTTTTGATTTAAAAAAAAAACCCCAATTTGAGAAAACTGGATCAAACTTTTTATTGTGCTTTTAAGTATTTTATTTTTCATTTAAAATCCACTATATTTGAATTTTAGAACTAAAATCCACTTTCGAAACAAGAAGTAGATCACGTTTTTCGTGACATTTACATTTTTGCTGTTCGATAGAGTCGAGTTTGCCTTCCTTTTAACAAAACAAATGAACTGAATTTAAAAAAATCAAAAGTCAAACCGCGAAAAACTAAATTTGAGCTTGAACAAGTTTATATCTTCTGAAAAAAAAATCATTTCGAACTTTATATGAGTCTGAACTACGTTCATCAATTTTTAATAAAACGTACCAAACATTAGAAAGTATGAAAAAATGAAAATTATCAGATCTATATAAATAAGATGATAGGTTGAAGAAAAGGCAATCAAAATTGGAACACGAATCACAGCTGGAAAGCATTTTACATTATCGACTCCACCTCACCTGAAGTTTCGTAAGGGTATCAGATAAGAATCAAACTCCTTCGTATCAGTTGAAGTGGCAGTAGTTCCAGTTTTTTTGTTGATTTTTTTAAGGCATTACTTACTGACTACGGTTGTCATTGAAAAATGAATTTAAAAAAAACATTTTAAATTATTTTTTTGCGAGAAGAGCTGTAAGCAGCTAGAAAACCTAGTTTTCTTAATGAAAAATAAAGCTTTTCACCGCTTAAATGAACCTTTTTTTAAGTTTATATTTTAAAGACATACTCGCTCAAAATCAGACCAAAAAGCAAAAATTTCAAACGGCTTCTTTGTATAAACTACGAAAAATTTGCGAAAACTTTTTAACGTCGTTCGACTCCCGACTGGAAGGGCTTTGATATGCTATATCACTCTGATGAATGATTATGGTACCTGATTTTGCGTGGAAAACTGGTTTTTTGTTTTTCAAACTTGTTTAATTGTTTCGATATAATCGATATGAGAGGACCAAAAGCAAAGCATATCACATTGGTAAGTTAGCCATATTCGACAACAGTTTTCTTCAAAAAAAATAACAAAACTAATTTTGAAAAATCTGATTTTTTAAATTTTTTATGGCCGAGCAAGCGCTAAATGAAGACCCAAGTAGATTGAATGTAGAGATATAATAACTAAAGCCTAAGCAATTACTAAGCGAAATAGAAAGCAAGACTCGAAAAAAACTCTTGCATACAGAAAAAATCAAACAGCTTTCTGAAAACGTTTCGGATGATATTTTTGTCAATTCTACGCAAACATCGATGTAAAACTTTAAAAGGAGCAAAAAAGTGACCAAAATCCTAGGTAAGCAGTTTCGGAATAAAAAATGACAATGTCGACAATTTTTTTCAAAACAAATTCATAATTGTTTTTCATAACACTGAACACAAAGCCATCAATTTTGAAACAAAAAATCACTCTCGTAGAAATCGCAAAAAAAACGTTTATTCTGATCTACGAATTGGGAAGGAATTATGGCGTCGTCTGTGCTTTTTCGACGCATTTTGAGTACCTCAAAGAAAGCTCGCAGTGGGTCAAACGTGGGGTATCATACAAAGCAAAACTTTCAAAACAAATTGTGTTTCGACGAAAACGATGAAAGATTGAACACTCAAATCAATTCTATTGCGATTTATCCTTTAATTAAGTTAACTCTAATCTTGCCAGATTTTTAGGTAACTCAACAAAGGAAAAACAAGAGTTTCTTATTTTTTGAAATAACTACAACCGTTATGATCGAAACATTCTGTGCCACTGACACATCAAATGGCTATCCATTTTTCTCGTATTTTGTATCTCATTCCGACGCTCAACTAGGGTTTAATCACCCTAGATTACCCAGATTATGAACTCCATTACAAACTACTGCAATGATTCAGATGGAATCCGTTAACAAATGATGTCTACACAAATGCCAAAAAAACACATATTGTTGGTGTAATTCAATGACAAGCGATATCCGACCATCTAGTTTTCACCACGAAATGTTTTCATCAGAACTTTGAGTTTCAAGCAGTTTCGATATAAAGAGGAATTTGGTGCATAAAATGCGGGTCCAAAGTACAGGGACAGGGTTACAGGAGCCAGAGTACCCGATCTTGGTTTGGTAAGGTTTTTTTATGTCATGTGATATGAACTATAGCTCCAGAAGAGTTTTCACCAAAATGGAATGATTGAGTTTTCATCTAGTTTGTATAATTCTGTTTGATACAGGCTAATCTCGAAACACTTCATAAACGAACACATGAACGCCTTTATCATTCATACTTTTTGTAGTGTGTTTGGAACAAACAACAATTATAATAATTCTAAGTTAGGTTTAAATTTGATTTTTTTCTGAACAAATGCTTGTCATTAAATTGCATACAAAGTTTCACACAGAGGCGAAGTTTTTTGAAAAATCGAACAAATGAAGATTTCGAACATTTTTTTGAAAATCCCCCCGTCTTTGGCGTCTATGGTGCAGAAATAATATGAAAAAACTAAATGTATAAAAAAATGAATTTTTATTTAAATTTGAGATTTTTTGTGAAAAATCATCTCCCCACACGCTATGGCCGAGCAAGCGCTAAATGAAGACCCAAGTAGATTGAATGTAGAGATATAATAACTAAAGCCTAAGCAATTACTAAGCGAAATAGAAAGCAAGACTCGAAAAAAACTCTTGCATACAGAAAAAATCAAACAGCTTTCTGAAAACGTTTCGGATGATATTTTTGTCAATTCTACGCAAACATCGATGTAAAACTTTAAAAGGAGCAAAAAAGTGACCAAAATCCTAGGTAAGCAGTTTCGGAATAAAAAATGACAATGTCGACAATTTTTTTCAAAACAAATTCATAATTGTTTTTCATAACACTGAACACAAAGCCATCAATTTTGAAACAAAAAATCACTCTCGTAGAAATCGCAAAAAAAACGTTTATTCTGATCTACGAATTGGGAAGGAATTATGGCGTCGTCTGTGCTTTTTCGACGCATTTTGAGTACCTCAAAGAAAGCTCGCAGTGGGTCAAACGTGGGGTATCATACAAAGCAAAACTTTCAAAACAAATTGTGTTTCGACGAAAACGATGAAAGATTGAACACTCAAATCAATTCTATTGCGATTTATCCTTTAATTAAGTTAACTCTAATCTTGCCAGATTTTTAGGTAACTCAACAAAGGAAAAACAAGAGTTTCTTATTTTTTGAAATAACTACAACCGTTATGATCGAAACATTCTGTGCCACTGACACATCAAATGGCTATCCATTTTTCTCGTATTTTGTATCTCATTCCGACGCTCAACTAGGGTTTAATCACCCTAGATTACCCAGATTATGAACTCCATTACAAACTACTGCAATGATTCAGATGGAATCCGTTAACAAATGATGTCTACACAAATGCCAAAAAAAAACACATTGTTGGTGTAATTCAATGACAAGCGATATCCGACCATCTAGTTTTCACCACGAAATGTTTTCATCAGAACTTTGAGTTTCAAGCAGTTTCGATATAAAGAGGAATTTGGTGCATAAAATGCGGGTCCAAAGTACAGGGACAGGGTTACAGGAGCCAGAGTACCCGATCTTGGTTTGGTAAGGTTTTTTTATGTCATGTGATATGAACTATAGCTCCAGAAGAGTTTTCACCAAAATGGAATGATTGAGTTTTCATCTAGTTTGTATAATTCTGTTTGATACAGGCTAATCTCGAAACACTTCATATACGAACACATGAACGCCTTTATCATTCATACTTTTTGTAGTGTGTTTGGAACAAACAACAATTATAATAATTCTAAGTTAGGTTTAAATTTGATTTTTTTTCTGAACAAATGCTTGTCATTAAATTGCATACAAAGTTTCACACAGAGGCGAAGTTTTTTGAAAAATCGAACAAATGAAGATTTCGAACATTTTTTTGAAAATCCCCCCGTCTTTGGCGTCTATGGTGCAGAAATAATATGAAAAAACTAAATGTATAAAAAAATGAATTTTTATTTAAATTTGAGATTTTTTGTGAAAAATCATCTCCCCACACGCCATATTAAGTACAGTGATAAACTTCGCTCCTAGTAACAAATCAATTATGGCAAATACGCTTCCTTCAACCGATTTGGAACATTTTCTATGACAGATTAAATCTCCGCTTACGCGTTAATAGCGCGAAATATATCGATCGTTAATTGTCCCAAATTGGCCAAAATGGCAATTTTTAAACCCCCATAACTCTACGAAAAATGATCACAGGTGAAATATTTTTCCGATTTAATCTCAGGACAGCAACACTTTTTGAATGAGTAAAAAATCTCATCAAAAATGGCTAGTTAAAAAGTCCAAATTTGTCTGAAGAAAAAAATCACCCCGAGCACGAAGATTCCGTTACTTTCGTTACGAAAGCCGAAACAACAATAGTTTGTGTTAAAATCCTTAGCATTGGCTGTACTTAATAGCTGGTTTTTGATCAAAATGAACACATTTTATCGCAACAATGTTTGCGTCGCAACATTGTTTGCGACTTAGGTTGGAAAAAAAGTTCATACTATAACACAAGTATTGCTTGTGTAATAACAATTTCAAGCATTTAAAATCTTTTTTTTTGAAAAAAATCTCAGAACAACTAACTTGCCAACGACAAGTTAATTTGAGACCTCGATTAACCTAAACCAACACTCTTTTTTGATTTATTTTTGAGTTTTAGAACTCAATAGAACGAAAGATAACAAATGAACGAACATAAATTGAGTTTTACAAATGATTTGAAATAATGGGTCTGAAACGAAAGACTTGCTTGTCATGTCCGTTTGATTAAAAGGAATCGTCCAACCCGCTCGTCGGTTCTTTACTGATAGACGCTGTTACGTACATGATAACGACCAACAAAAATAATGAATTTAATATTTTTGAAAAATTCTCTCATTTTTAAGCAACAAGCACAATCATGGTGGGGCTCGAACCACTGATCTTTTGACGTATAGACGGAGGAAGCACCGGCCGGCTACGATACCAAAACTGGACACACCTTGCGTACGAATTCACCCACATCCAAAATTCGCTTCGACTTCAATATATCCGATTAGGTTTATTCTCTATTACCAGCAAGGTTTTTCCTCTAAAAAAAAACTTTCACCCACCCTTTCTAGAGTGTGTCATTATGGGAAAAATATTGAGAAAAGATGTGAATTAACAAGTCACTTACAATCGCAAGTGACATTTGACCTATATTATTTGAGATCGCACCGAACACAATAATGAGCAAATTTGCCTCAATTAATCATAAATAAAGCATTAACGAACAGTATCAATTTGATTTAAAATTACGCATTTACTGTTCATCTAAGAAATTGATTAGAACTTCAGAAAATCAAGCTGTTTTTCTAGATTGAGAACCTTTATAAGAAATCAATTTTAAGCTCTGCGACTAAGTGTGCAAAGATTCAAACCCTTGCTAGCACGACGATGATTTGATTTACACCAGAAACTTCATAAAAGCTTAGTAGCGCAGGATTTTAGGTTGACTCAATTGACGGATAAACTCAACAAAGTGCAAAATATGTGCATATATTTTTTGTAAAACAGCTCATAATAAAAACAAATTTATGCGTACGCTGATCACAGAATTTATTAAATCTTTAAATCATGCTGTCCATAATTTGCCAAAAGAAACATCAACAAAAATCAGTTCTAAAAAATTTCAATTCCAGTTAGTTCCAAAAAGACTGATTTTTCGACGATTTGATTATACCGATTTATCAAAAAAAAATTAAATTTAAGGGATTAAGGATGCGCATCAGGCAGGAATAAATATTTACAAATATGAAAGCACTACAAAAATAGGTTGAAAATTGGTAAAAATAAGCGATCACTTTTACTGCATTTATTAACCCGACAGACGAGTCAAATCACATTTAAAGGATAGATGGAAAAAAGGCGCATAAAGCATAGAAAAAAGTTTTATCTAACTAACTTATCTGACAGCGCACAATTAAGTTGACCTTTCCGATTGACAGGAGTATTTGAACTATCAGGTCATCCTTTTGTATCGCCTCGGTTGAAACAGAACCAATACTGCGTGTTGTGAAATCATTTCTTTGATCACTCATTTCTTTGCAAAAGTTATATCAGTATAGCGACGATGCCGGTAGAATCGTCCGAAGAAATGATAGATATATTTGACCTTTGGGATGTTTTATTGCGCTACTTTCTGAGGTGAAGAAAAATTGGAGGACAGAGTTTGATCACGTAAGATAGAATTTGATCACGTGACAGGAATCATCTGACATCATCGTTGTAGTTTGCGTCGTCGTTGCTCGTGTAGTAGTCGTCTGAAACAGGGAACATAAAATCAAAATTGAGCATCAAAATTCATCTGTCTGATTATCATGTCTTTTGAACTGATCGTATTCATCACAAACCAATAATTTTAATCTATAGATCTAATCGCAACTTGTCATATAAGAATCAATAGTATTACGTCACAATTTTAATTCAAATATACCAAAGGTTACGGTCTAATGGTCTGTATAAATTGTCACTGTATAAATTGTCTACTGTCACAGTATAAATTGAAGATATACACCTAAAATTAAAATTGATCAGCTGGCTTTTTCGGGGCTATTCTTATGCGCGAAGGAGCGAATGCGCGAAAAGTCTCAGCCAATCAAACTGTCCAAGTCTGACTTATTTCTTCCGACTTTATGAGTAATGATTTCTGATTGGCTGACAAAATATTCGCGCATTCGGCCTTTCGCGCATGACGGATTCCCTCTTTTTTCATAATGAAGCATCTATGCTGGTGATAACATAGCAGTAATTACACAGAGGCGAAGCTGCACTTCGCATACACAAGCAAAAATATGACCGATACGATCATATTTTTGCTTGTGTACCGAGCCAATTAAGACGCATTAGCAGTACCAGTCAATTTGAAAAAAGAAATTTACCAAATAACATACCTCAATTTATAGAGCGGACGCATCACAGTTGAAATATCTTTCGAAATTTAAGCTCAGGTCAACAATACTTTTTGAATGATATTTTAAAAAAATCCCGTCAAAAATAGCTAGTTAAAAAGTCGAAATTTGTCTGAAAAAAAACCACCCCGAGCACAAATATTCCGTAACGAAAGTCGTAACAATTATAGTCTGCGTTAACATCCTTAGCATTGGCTGTACTTAATAGCTGGTTTTTGATCAAATTGAACAGATTTTATCGCAACAATATTTGCGTCGCAATAATGTTTGCGACTTAGGTTGGAAAAAAAAGATAGTTCATACTATAACACAAGCATTGCTTGTGTAATAACTTTAAAATCTAAAAGACACAAACAATGCATGTTTTTCTTTCATCACGACTCATTGACTTCAAACAAGGGTATCTTTGCGAATTCATATCAAAGGAAATACTAAAGACTTAATTTAATGTTTGTGGATAACAGAAAGAAGATTTTTACTTGATCCCAAAAATTCCGCCGCTCGAAATCGAGTATTTTACACGCACCGCTTGGTGATTTGAATCCAGATTGAATAAATGGAACTACGGTCAGCGCCTGACTATCAAAAGTCAAAGGTTTAATAACCACTATGTAATCGGTGCTCTTACTTGAAAGCTATACGTAGAGGCGAAGCTGCACTTTATGAACACAAGCAAGAAATTGGCAACCGATAGCTCTAAGGAGCCAAAAACAAAGTAAAACAAAAAAGGAAAAACCTTAAAGCTTTTTTGTTCTGGGCCCGAATCGAACTTCTGACCAAGATATTAGAGTCTCGCGTTCTCGCATCTGCACGACGGTCACTAGGGGCCCAGCTGAAAGCTGGAGAGACCTGTTTGATTATTTTAATATTGATTAGCGGATTCCATTGTCTAAAAAATACACACAATAAGTATATTGAACCTTTGTTCCAATGCCAAAAAACTTTTAAAAAAACTTTTCCTAAGTGTACAGCTCTTCCCCGAGACAAATTAAGGACCAGCCGCTTGGGCAGGGGAATTTCCTACAACCTGGTCTATCGATTAAACCCTTAATCCCAAATCTGGAATGGGTAGTTTTTGAAGAAATCGAAAAAGTTTGAAAAAATGGCCTAAAAATCGAAAAATTGACTATTCCTTAGTGTATAGCTCTTCCCCTAGACAAATTAGGGACGAGCCGTTTGTGTAGGGGGGGTTCCTACAACCTGGTCTATCGATTAAACCCTTAATCCCAAATCTCGACGGGTAGTTTTTGAGGAAATCGATAATTTCCGAAAAAGTAGGCAAAAAATCAAAAAAGTGACTTTTCCTAAGTCTATAGCTCCTCCCCTAAGCAAATTAGGGACCAGCCGCTTGTGCGGAGGAGTTTCCTACAACCTGGTCTATCGATTAAACCCTTAATTCCAAATCTGGATGGGTAGTTTTTGAGGAAATCGATAATTTCCGAAAAATAGGCAAAAAAATCAAAAAAGTGACTTTTCCTAAGTCTATAGCTCTTCACCTAAGCAAATTAGGGACCAGCCGCTTGTGCCTGGGAGTTTCCTACAACCTGGTCTATCGATTAAACCCTTAATCCCAAATCTGGACGGGTAGTTTATGAGGAAATCGAAAATTTCCGAAAAAATGGGCAAAAAGTGGAAAAAGTACCGAGTTGTGAAGCTTTTCTAAGACCGTAGGGGGTGGGGTAGGGTAAAAATTGCCCTAAATTTCATGCAGGCAGGTAGGTGAAACGCTACTGAATCCATTGGTACCACTTTTATGAGAATCTGACGGGTAGTTTTCTGGGAAAGCGAATTTTTCGAAAAAGCGTCTCAAAAAAAAAAAAAAAAACAGATCTCATCTGGAAAAAAAAAAACGTTTTCATAATACCTGTTTAATAAATCAAACAGGAATTTGAATATTTACCAACATAGTTACCAATAAAAGCGCTAAATTTCCTTTTACATTGCCAAGGCTATTCAGCAAAAGTACGACCAAATAAAATACAAGTAATTCAACGTGCCGAAATTGAACCTACGACCTTTAGATTAGGAGTGCCACATCCTCGCATCTGCGCCAAGGTTGCTTGAAAAAACTAAGGACCCAGCTAAAACTGGAGGTATCTGCTTAATAAATTTCAACAAAATGTTAAATTCAAATGTTAAAATTCGTTTTTTTTTTGAAAATATCAAAAATTTGACAAAAGTACGGAAAAAGCACTTTTGTAGGGTAGATCAATGCAATGGAACGTCTCAATTCGATTACTTTCCTAATTTCAGAGTTGACACGGCAGTTTTTAGCAAACTGAACAAAGTCCAAAATACCCCTAGATCTTGTCCTTTCGACAGAACTTTTAATCTGTTCTGGTGATGTAAATGTCGAGAAAATCAAAAGAATTCTAAAAAAACGAACAAAATTTGAAAAAGGGACTTTTGCTAAGTCCAACTTGTTTTTCTGCCAAAATTAGGGCCTAGTCGTCATGCAGAGAAAATTACTTGTGCATAAACTTTCGATTGAAATCATTATCACATATTTCACTGGGTTGTTTTCAAGAAAAGTTGAGAAAAAATCAAAAAAATTGATCAAAATGTCAAACTTTGAACTTCTCTTAAGTCAATAAACGATTGCTTACAAAAAAGAGGGATCCGTTTATGCAGGGGATACTCCTACAATTTGCTCTTCGATTGAACGTTTAATCTCAGATTTGGCACCGTAGTTAGAAAAAACCAAAAAGCTGCAAGAACAAACACATTTTGAAAAAATGGACATTTGCTATAACCAACATTAACTTTCTACATAAAATAGAGCGTAGCTGCTTATGCAGACAAAATTACTGCTTCATTTTCTTTTGATTGAATCCTTGTATCAAATTTGGCTGGGTAGTTTTAGAGAAAAGTCAAGTTTCCAAAAACGGTCAAAACTTCAAAATTAGACAATTTCTATGGCTAGAACTTTTTGTTCAAAAATTTGGGTGTAAAAGTTTTTGCAGTGAGGATTCCTAACACCAGTTTCTTTTATTGAACACTTGATCTCCGGTTTTTGGCAGGGTTATTTTCGTGAACAAAGACAAAGTTTCTTAGAACAAATAAAACCGACTTTTTTGAGGCCACAACGCATTAACTACAAAAACAAGGACGTAGCAGTTTATGCACAAAGATTCACATGAAATATTCTTCTGATCGAACTCTAAATTTCAAATTTAACAGGGCAATTTTTGAGAAAATACGAAAAAAAAACAGATCAAAAACTCCGCCATTGAAGTTTTCGAAGACCGTCGGGTAAAAAAGAAGACTATCAGAATAAGCGGCACACCCGGGAGTAGCCGATCTAGCATCGGTCTTTCCGCCATTTTTAGGTGCCACCAACGTTGGAAAAAAGTGACCTTGTACTATCACACTACGCTCCGGTGATTGTAATGTGCTCGTATTACAGTCCTTTTATCGCATAGAGATACCAATGAACCACCTTTGTGATGCTCTCTTGATGTATTGAAATAGCTGAATTTTGCTACCAAATAAATAAACACACGAAAACAAATATATTATTTTCTATCATTTAAAAAAAAACAGTTCAAAAATGACTTCCTCACCTAGTATGTGTTGGAGTGCTTCGAACGTGGGTCTTTTGTTGGCTTCTGGACGCCAGCAGTTGCTCATAATCTCGTAGGACTTAGGCTCGATGCAGTCCAACTTCGGCATCCGATATCCCTTCTCAACTTCACGTAACACGTCTGCATTGCTCATTCCTGAATACATGTAAATGGTATTTAAATGCAATAGAGAAAGAAGAAGACTCTTTTCCAGTTTCGCAAATCCGCATCGTAAAGACGCAAAAAAAAAGTATGAAAACTGTTCATACGGCAATTTCCATCATGGACAATTCAAATACCATTCGTAAAAATCGAAGGGTAAGCTGGAAGACCTTTGATATCAATCTGAAAAGCAAACTTAAAATGTACATAACTTCAAAAACAGATACTTCGGGTTCTTAAAAACCACTTGATACGTACTTGATTTACCCCTTTCATTTCTACGTAACTTCTAAATGAACGGTTTGAGTGAACAAAAAAGATAATATTTTAATATAGCCAAAGAGCCGTTTGAAAAGTTTTTACACTCCTCTAAAGGAAAAACGACTGCGAAAAATTCCGGCTATAAAAATTGAAGAGCTCAGCTTAGATTGCTTGAGAAGAAAAAATGCACTGTATATCAATCGGTGGTATAAAAAAACTGAAGGATAAAAAATCGATTATATAAACTAGCCGAAAACACGTAACTGTTACATAATATTTATATCACGATAAAATAACAGTTAAAGTCGTGCAAAATTTCATCCAAATGACGTAACATTCGGCTGGCTTATATACTCTGCGTATTTTAGGCTGTCTGATACTTCGACTGTCTTATACCTCGGATATGAGTGAGGAGTATTCACATTCAAATCAATCATTACAGTTAGCGTACCAGCATATGGCGTTCTTCCCTTGGTGCAGATTTCGTAGAACAGGATCCCGAAACTCCACACGTCTGACTTGGTCGTGAACACATTCTTAGTTGCAGCTTCAGGCGCTGTCCACTTAATGGGGAACTTGGCCCCCTGGTGCGCGTCATAGAGGTTCTCTTGCGTCATCTTCCTCGCAAGTCCGAAGTCTCCGATCTTGCAGGTGATTGGACGCTCTTTATGGACCAGCACGTTTCTGGCAGCCAGATCTCTGTGTACATATCCGTTGCGCTCCAGATACGCCATTCCCGAGGCTACGTTGCTTCCCATCATGATAAGATCTTTATAGACTAGTCTGCCTTCTGCCTCTAGAAATACGCAAAATTATTCGCAAAATGAATTTCGAAATTTCAGATGCAGTTAACAAAATAAGATAAAACTTATCTTCAACATGCCAAATTGTAGGCTGAATTCCAAATACTCTCATCTGAATCAAATTTCACAATCCAAATGGCGTCGATTTTTAAGCCTTACAACATCAATGATCATCGTCGCCTACACCTGATTCAAAGCTTGAACTAGATTCAGCTGTTGAAGGCTGAAGGACTGCATGTCTCACATGATTCTATTTATACAATTCAATTTTTGAAAACTCACCTAGTTCTCATGATTTTGGATTAAATGAAGACACTTCAACTAACTGTTTTAAGAGCTAATAAATTTGCTTTTGTATGATAATTTTCTTGAACATGAAAACGAAACTTACCTTTATTATAGCAAACTTTAAGAAAGAACAATACTGCTGATAGGAGATCGGATTGCTCTTCAACGACTCCGAGTGCCTACGAAATACTGTTGAAATTTGATTTTATGCAAAAATGAAGTTGCACTTTGCAAACAAGATCAAAAATTTTAATAAAAAACTTCAACTCGACATATACACACAAACACTAACTTTCTTTCTACACGCATTTTAAACGCATCCATACGCTATCCATGTTTAGTTTAAAAAAAGTGTTTTTCGTGTAATAACGCATTAATGTAGTTGTTGGAAAGTCAAACAACCAAAGGCATCCGCAAAATGTATTTCGAAAGAAAATTCATCACGTTAAAGCTTCTTGAATTGCAAGAATCTTCTATGATTGCCACTTATTTCGCAAAACCAACCCAATAAGAGAACATAGTCAATAGACAAATGGAAAAGAGTCAATGAACGCAAGAAAAACCGATTTTCTTTTTTTGATGAAATCTCAACTATCGAATTTCAAGGAAAAAAAATAGATGACCTTAAAGCTCTTCGAATTTTTGGACCAATTAATGATATTAACTTTTTTGATAAAATTAACCCAATTTGAGAAAATTGGATCAATAGTTTAATTATTCATTTCGCGGGGAAATTAGCTAAATTCCACATTCGAAACAAGAAATCAATAACGTTTTTCGTGACCTTTTCGATTTCGCCGTACGACAGTAGAGTTTGCCTTCCTTTTGAAAAGAAAATGAACTGAACTTGAAAAAAAATCAAGTCAAATCGCAAAAAAAAGTGAAACAGAAACTGAACAAAATTCAAGAAATTCAAGAAACAAAAAAAATCATCGCGACCTATATAAGAGTCTGAACTACAATCATCTGAACTAAAACTGGGTGAAAAGGAGACTTTTCAACTCCTGGGAAATCGATGAAAAAGAATGCTTTTTAAAAAAGCTCAAGTTTTTTCATGTCAGCTGCACTTTCGTAATTGGGAGAGTGATTTACCTTCTATTGAGGATTTGAATGGAGCTTGAAAAAATCAGTCAAACCACGAAAAATTCAAAAACGAAAATAAAATTGAACAATGAACGTAAATCAAAAGCTAAAATTCTTATTTTGTCGGTATATATGGAAATTAAAATCAACTTTCGAAACAAGAAGTCAAATTTTTCGTGACTTTTATATTTTGGCAGTTCGAGGGAGGAGTTTCCTTTCCTTTCCACAAATAGAATAGAAGTCGACTTATGAATACACAGAGGCGAAGCTGCGCTTCGCAAACACTAGCGAGAAGACGACAAAAAGCAGCTCTATAAAGTGCAATAAGAAAAAGTAGAAATATGCCTCGAATTAATAAAAATTCGGCTACGTCTTGGATTCAACCTAGAGATTATGTGTCTCGCACACTAACAATTACGCCACAAACACACCAGAGAACAGATGCCATGAAATTTCCAATGCTACAGATAGTGATTATAGCAAAAAGTGAAACCAAATAAATAAACACTTTTAATGAATACTTTTATTTCCGAGTTAGGTTAGAAAAAAAGAAGTTTCGTACTAAAACACTAACGCTCGCAAACTAGCCAGTGTAAATATCAAAATGGAGCCACAAAACTTATTTTAAAAAAAAACAAAAAAAACTAACACGAACTCGGAAAAATGGCCTTAGAGGTATTAAATTTCAAGAATAATTTATAATGAACCCTTTCTGATTAAATTAATTCAATTTCAGAAAACTGCAGCCACGTCCGTGGCAATAAAAACTTTCGTCTCTCATCCATCCTTTATGAAACATTCAAAGACGATATTTTTCAGGAATCTTAATTACGACTAAGAAAGCTTCAATAGAATAACACAAACGATGCCAAACGAAAGGTTTTTAAGACACCTGATTTCATTAAAAAAAACTGTTAGAGACAACTAGGTCGCGACACCTAGGTCACTACAAGCGACAAATATCACTACAGGTCACACCTGGGAACCGACAACAAGCGACAACTGGGTACAAAAAGCCTCTAGTTTGAGGCAGCCAGTGGGCGCGCTCTGCTGCAATAACCCGCTCTAATTTTCATATAGAGTCCTACCCTCTGTTGGTAAGCTTGCAACACACATCAGCCCGATTGTGATATAAATTCAAATACTACTAAATTCGAATCAAATACTATTATAGTTATAGTTGTCTTACACTAGTAATAAAAAGTTGATTCTACTCACTTTTGAAGAACTCTAGGAGATTTCCATGCTTGGCGAGTTCTGTCACGATAAGCAGAGGCTCTATGCACACCCCGTAGAGTGCCACTAGGTTCTTGTGTTGCAGCTTCTTCATAATATTCGACTCCCTTCTGAAGTCCTCTTTGTCCATTGTACCTAGAAAACAGTCCTCAATTTATAGTAATAAATTTAGTTTCAGGTCAGATACTTATTAAAGTACATAGCTTAAACATAGCCAACAGCCAGTTGGAAAAAGTCAATTTGAAATCAACGACTACAACAGAATTTAAAAGACTTGTCTCTCAATTGGTGCTCTAAATTTCGTGTCATTTATTTTGAAAAAATTCAGACTTCTTTTTGCTTAAATCTGAGATTTTCTTTGAATATTTTGGAAACTAATCAAAGCCTGAGGTGCTTCTCCTAAATTATTGCAAGTTAACAATTACTAAAGCAATTAATTTCTTCCAATAAGTGCTCCAAATCTCAAGCAAAACCGAAATTGAATCCACTAGATTAAAAACGAGCTAAAGTATTACAAAAACGGTTCATTTCTCGAAATTTTCCTTTTCGGCACTTTTAAATACCCCCACTTGCCAAACTAATTATTTTATTTCACTGGGAAACCTGAAAAATGAAATCCACTTTCAAAACTAAAACTCAATCACGTTTTTTGCGCCATTTTTGAATTCGCAAGTGGGTGGTCAGGACTATTTGCCCCAAGTCAATTGGCCCTATGCCAACTTGTGCTATACTAACTTGCCCTACATGGCAACTTGTCCTATGCCAACTTGCCCCACATGACATTTTGTCCTATGCCGTTTTGTCCCATACTTAACACTTTTACTTGATTCTTTGATGTTAAAATTGAGGACCAGCAAGTGCTAATGTAGACTGAACTCGTTCTGAGATAACAAAAGACTCTAATCAAAAATTACTGAAGCTGAGCCTAAAACAACCATAAATTTTGGTAATTACACGCCAAAATTTGACAATAATCCACAATTAGCGCCATTGAGTCAAAATGAAACACGGCTTTTCTTTCATTTTGCTTCATTGTTTACCATTTTCTTCCTAAAGATCCAATATAAAAACTATTGAGTCAACTTACATGGGGAATATCTCAACGAAATTAACAAACGCTCATTATTGACGGACATGATTTCACAAAAAAGCAAACGACAAAAACTACTGAGCACTGGAGATGCACAAGATACAGTTCACACAAATGCCGCATGCTCGGCGTCACAGCAGGAGATGAGCTCGTATCTACAAAAAATGAGCACAGCCACGATGTTAGACCTGGGAAAATTGAGTCAAACCAGATCATGCATCATATAAAAAAAGAGACCAGGCAGCAAATTGTACCTGTCAATAGTAGTATTATTGCCACTTGTCTCCAGGAAGTAACAGATGAGAAAGCAGTTCAATTATCCTTGCCCAGTCGTGCAGCAATAAACATAACTATTAGCAGCCAGAAACAGAACTTGATCACGTCCATGCCAATCATTAAAGACAGGCATTTCATAATTCCGACGGAAAATTCTGATTTTTGTTTATTCGACAATGGAGTAAGGGATCGTGAGCGAATTTTGATTTGCGGTGATCGAGCTAATGTTCAAGCCCTTCGAGTTCACAATTCTCTTTGGCTTTGCGACGGTACATTTAAAATTTGCCCAATGCAATTTTACCAGCTTTATACCCTACGCATTCAAATCGGTGGATTTTTTCCACCATGCCTTTATGCTCTACTGCCAAACAAAACTGAGCAGACGTATTCAAAATTACTGAAAGCCATCTCCTTTGTCTATGTTAACGCGCAACCATCGAGGATCCTTCTAGATTTTCAACGAGCTGCCGTAAATGCTTTTACAAGTGCGTTTCCAGAGTCTTCAATCAATGGCTGTTACTTTCACCTCTGCCAGGCCTTTTTCCGCAAAGTTAACGAGCTTGGTTTAAAGAAAGTCTATGAAAACAACTGCGAGGTGAGCTTGACTGCGTTTATTATCCGCTCTCAGTTTTGTTCAAACTGATTTAGTGGAGCGATCGTTCGAGAGCGTCATAGAGGAGATTGAGCATGTAGTGGACCGATTAGATCTTGAGCAAAACCTCTCAGATAAAATTGCCTGAAATGATAACTTGCCTCATAATTTCAGAGAAGTTATATAAAAGGCGAAACAATAGGGCGAAACAGCAGGCAACCGTTATACCCTAAGAGTCTCTGGAAACATTCCCAAGAAGCAGCGGAAGGCTTGATACGAACGACAGACGCCGTTGAAAATTGGCATCTGGGAGCGACAGCATTATTTCAAGGGAGCCACCCAAGCCTCTACACTCCTGAATAAGATTCAAATGGACTCAACAAATCAGAAATTCGACATTTTGAAGGCTATGGGGGGAACGCATAATCAAGGGCGAAGAAATATGGGGATATTCATGCAAAAATCCAAAACATTTCTAGTAATTTCAACAAAGACCATGTTGTTGGCTATTTAAATGCTCTAGCTCATTTAACTCTTTCGTAATTTTTAAATTGTCGGCATAATTTCTACTTAATTGTCGGCATTGTTAAACGATTTTTAAAAAATCACCACTTTTTTGAACTTATACCCATCCTACAGGGTCCAAATTTTGAGACGTGATAAAGGCCAATACTGCGAAAATTTTGCTTTTTCCCTCACCCCGCCCCATATACTGAGTAACCCAGCATAGAGGGGTTTTAGGGGCTAGGCAGTACCTGCGGTTTTCCATTTCATCAATTTCAAACTAAAATTTTTTGATTTCAAGTTTTAACTCTTGTCTTGTTGATAAAGAGTGTTGTGCACTTTTAACTATGCTATAGGAGCTTACAAGAGCAGCAACCAATCTTTTGAAAAGTTTAACTCCACATGAAAATTGAATTGAACTTTTGCCGCTTTCATTTTGTTCATGCATGCTTTGAACTGATTTTGATTCAGCACATATAATGATTCCGCATTTTGTTTCAAGCTTAATTGTTCAATAAAAAAATCTTTTATCTTTATGCCGACATCAATTTGTACGAGGGTATCAAAGAATCTGGTGCAAGTTTCATTTTTTTATTATCTGGGACAAGATGGCATTGGACAAGTTGTCATCTGGGGCAAGTTAGAATCGGACAAGTTGGGCTGGGACAAGTTGAATTGAAGCAAAATGACATGTAATTGTAATTGGAGTGTGATATACTTTCCGTTAAGCAAATAATTTTAAGTTTAACTTGAAAACAAATCAAAAGTCGACAGACAAAAAATTAAATTTAAGCTTGAACAACTTCCAGAAAAAAATCACCACGAACTAAATAAGTGTCTTCATTTCGCTCATTGACACTTCATAAATTTCACGTTTTACTTTCAATTGGAATAGTGCAAAGAAACATCAAGCCCGTCGCGTCATATCATCATTAAAAATTATCAATAGATGAAGATTTAAATTTTATTTACGTGTTGATGATGCCAAAAATGTCTTGTTGAACTTCACTCATGTTTAAAAAACTTTATTTTTTCTTCTTTTCAGATTAGCTGAAACAATCATTTTATTATTGAACGACAAAGAAACTTCACTACATGGCATAAAACAGTAATAAAAATATAAGAAGCTAACTACAGTTCACATTGTCCTAATGGCATGGAAAACTTGGTTCATTATTCATGCTAATACGCGTTTCGAAAGCATAAGCCTTCTAAGCCTAGCAAATTTAATTGATCTTTGACAGTTTGATACAAAACCGACGATTATAAACCAATTGCTTGGTTAGATACATGTAGAAATCGGAGGATTTTCTGTGTTGATATAAATTAAATACGAGCAGTTGGACTAGGTTATAGGGATCAAAAAGCTTTGCAAACTGATTATGTTTTCAAAACATTTACTTAAAAATTGGCTCAATGTCTGCCAAATTGCAATGAAAGCTCAGTCTTTAAAAATGATCTCTCTCAGCATAGTTGATCTTATTAAAATTTACTTGAATTGAGACAATTTTCAAACTTGCAGCTCATGTAAATAATAACCCTACCTTGTTTTAGAGTCTTAATAGCCACTTCTTTATTGCCGTTCCAGGAACCTCTGAACACCTCTCCGAACTGTCCGGATCCCAGCTTGGTTCCGAACTGGAGATCCTTCAGCGATATCACCCAATTCACCTCATGCGATTTCGACAGACTCTGAAGAGTCCTTACTGGACCCTCATTTTGCTCTATTGAAGCCACTAGCTTCACACATAGACCATCGCAGTGCTGCTTGTAGTGTTCTACGAGTTGGACTAGGTTAGGGAAGGTGCTCCTCTTGGCTATAAAGAGCATGCCTTCGTCGTTCATTCGGATCCGGTAGTGCTTCACCTCTGAGTTGTCTTTGACGCTTAGAGAAAACTCGTTGCTCCTTGACTCGGCAGGTCTGACTAAGAAGGTGCCTTTGGCACACTCTCGTAGCATGCATTCGGCTGATAGACGCGTTATTTCTTCCATGAACCATCTAAGCAAAAAAAAATAACTCAAAACATTACAAAACTCTCAATAAATTTGCCGTTTTCTTTTTGAACATCAATTTAAGATAACCATCCTTCAAAAAGAGAAGACACTCTTGAGCATCCTTATTTGATATGGCGATAATTTTACGGGAGGTTTGGAAAACTTGTTGAAAACGTCAATTTCAGTTCAGATGTGGATTACAAAAAGGCTATAAAAAACAACTTTGTTCACATCTGCAAAAACTGTGTAGTCTTATTTAAACAAACAGGGCATGTTGTTTCAGATTTCATTTTTCCCTGGATGGCATGTTTTATGTTGCCAATAAAGCACATTGAAAGAAAGCACACTGAGGCAAAGCAAGTCATGTGCTCCAAAAAAAAGACATTTTGCCAAGATTATAAAGGTCGATTTTCAAGTGGGGAAAATTATAACCACTTGCTTGAAAATGAATAGCGAAAAATTATGTAAAAAGTATCAATTAAGCAAATTACGACCAATGCAAAAGCTAACAAAGCATGTATTTTCTCTAACCAAAGCCTGTATTCTCTCTACCAAAGCTATGTGCTAGCAATATAAATAATGATAAAATATTCGGGGGAGGGGGAGGTGATGATAACTTGTTGGTGAATTTGAGTAAAATTTTAAGCCAATCAGATCAAAGCATTTTACACGCAGCGCTTAGCAAACTTAATTAAAATTGAAGGCTGGGGTGGAGGATCTTAACTTTTCTGGCTGGGGGGGGAAGGGGGTTGGGGTGTCATCTTGATCTTCAATTTTATGTAGGGGTAGATGATCTCACTTTTTCTGGTTATGGGGGTAGGGGGGGGGGGGGGGGGGTGTCATGTTGATGCTCAATTTAATATGTATACTCTACTCACGGCTCTGCTCTGTGGGATCTGTATGACTCTACATAATTGGAGGGTATGTATCCTCTCTTGCCATTGGCTTTATGTGTGGCCATCCACCACTCCCCCATCGTACTCTCCACTTCCAACAGATCTCCCTTCCTGTAAAACACACACACAAGCGAACCTCAACATTACATCAGGTAATTTAGACCACAAGTGGACATCGTCTTTGTCCTTAGTCTATCACCTCCAATAATATTCATGAAATATACTTAATGAAATATTTACCAAAAAATACATTTATATTGTTCTCCTTAAACGGTAAATGACAATCAATTAAAAAATCAAAGAACACTTTAAATATACACTATTTTTTAATTGATTGTAATTTACCGTTTATGGGAAAAAAAATTTTTTTTATTGCTGTATCAGTGTATCGTGTATCTGTATCAACTATCTGTGAGTATTTGTGTGAATTGTTGGCTAATCTCATTCATATTCCTACGTTACAAGCCTATCACACTCAAATAATCTATCTCCTGGCAGATTTAATATCGCAGATTAAGCAAAATTCAATTTACATGTAACTCCTAGCACTGCGTTTTTATTCTGCTAGCAAAGACTTGACTATTAATGCCGGATAAAAATGACTTAGAAAGTAGAGTAAAATTCACTAAAAAACTTTTTATTGGAAATGAGATATGATATATAATTTACTGTGGCATTTTGCCTTTAGTCTCGCGATGAGAGAAATTGAGAAACGGTATTGAGGTTGATTGTGGCGATGTGCCTATAGACTCAATGTGATTAATATTGAAAAGAATGATTTTAGTAAATTTCAGTTCGCTTTTATAGCGTAATTTTTGGATTTCAACAATTTCGTCTTGTTATTTTGTTCTAGAAAGTTCTTCAGCCAATGAAGTTTCAACAACTGGTGATCTCTCGTCACGAGGAGTTATATTTAGATTTACCTGCTATTTCAGCTAAATGATAAAAAATGGAATAAAAAGGGTAGAAATGAAAAGCAATTTTCCAATTTTTAATAAAAATCATGTTTCTATTTCAATTGGAAATCAGAAAATTCCCAAGATAATTGCTGCACGAACAAAAAAGTAACCAATTTGAGCTTAATAGTTAGTGTGATAATTTTTTGAATTGTTTTCGTCTTTTTTCTATGCTCCGTGAAGACGCTAACTTCGGCTTCATTAAATGATTATTCAAATCTTTATGAACGTAAAAGTGTAACATTTATTGGCTTAACGCTCCTTCAGGAAATTTTTATGACGCCAAAAAATATTCAGAAAAATCGGATACTTCAAACCACTTTTCTCAACACTATCAAAATTTCTGCTGGATTTTTAATATCCAAAATCCAACCCACTCACTAAACATAAACTCACTTGAATGGCAGGTCGTCGTCTGTTTGACAAGTGTAGTCAAACATGGCAATGAAAACATTCTTGTTAGTCCTGGAGGGCGAATCTCGGTTGTTCATCCCTGGAGTCCCTGACGGCATGCCTCCTTGATGACCATGAACAGTTCCTCCAGACGACCTCACACTTCCCCCACCCGTGCTGCTTTTGTGCTGGGATCCTGCTGTTCCTAAACAACCACTACTCATTCTGATACAAATTCTCAAGCGTCATGATAGGCCACTGAGGTTTTGAGTTAGGTTCGGGAAAAGCCCTTTTAACGATGTTTTCGATTGATACTAGAGTTCACATTGAAATGGATTGTACAATTATTTCCACTTTGGTCACGGTTGGAGGGATCCCTCAAGGTGAGAACGGCTACAGCCAAATGGATGACACCGATCTCTCCCCATGGAAGCAAGGACTAAGATAGTAAGGAGGAGATAAATCCGACTCAACTAAGAAAACTAGAATTCAATTCGTTCATAAGCATTGGAAGTAGCGAACCTTGTCGGTGCTGGGTGGCGGTTGCACTGTTGATTGTGCTTCCATTGTTCATGACGAATGTGTTGGCTGGACTGTTGGTTCCTCCCGGCATAGGCGCCAGTGACACGCCCGAATGGACCAGAGGCGGATTGGGGCCAGTTTTTCCCGGCTGCTAAACAGACTAATCTTTCAGAATTTTGCATTGCATGTTTGATTCGTAAATTTAACGACTATTTACAACAATCAAGGACATTTGAATGCAACTGAAACAAGGATAGCCAGTGGCTGTGCAAGTAGCACAGAATGTTCCGACCACATTCATAGAAGAACTACAAAAAAGTATATATTTTTTTCTTTCAATTAGTGTCGTTCTTTGTGGATGGTAGACGCGAGATATATACAAACGCATTTAAAGCTAGTAAATTAGGTATAATTCTTAACTGTTGTCTTCAAACAATGAATAACAAACAAAACACGATAATTTTTTTTTTCAGAACATTTTGAATGCCAAGGAAGAGCAAAATGAAGCTCCCAAAACTAGTTTTCCTTTAAGAAAAATCAAATTTATTCAGCCTAACTGACCAATTTGAATATAATGAACGTTACTCGATTGCTTTCAAATTGGTTTTGCTTGACACTAGAGCAACTTTTTGCGAGTTTTAAATATCGTTCGACTCACGACTGAAAGGGCTTTAATTTGATATATCACTCGACCCATTCCGATGAATATTTGTGGTATCTGATTTTGCGTGGAAAAAAAAGAAATAAAAAACAAAAACACAACCGAAGACAAAGTTGCTCCCATTTTCAATTATCCGAAAAAATGGTACCGCGACAACTCGCAAAAATTAAGGGAAGCGACGGCTCTTGTCTAGTCCCATTTCATCTTTTCTGAATTTCAATTCACAAAAAAACTACTTCTAATAAGTTTTAATCTTTTAAACCCAATTTAAATACTAAAGCGTTAAAAAGTGAAAAAAAACTATACAACTTTTATTACATGCAAAATACCACATGAACAAAGTTTGAACAATTTTATTTGGTACTTTTACGAGGGGTTGAGAAAATGGAAAAGAGCCAAAACGACAACTCGCAAGGTTTGAAAAATACTTATAGATTTCAAAAGGTCGGTTTGAGGTCTCCAGTGGGCTATAACCAGCTCTAAATTTAGTACACAGGAGCAAAACTGCACTTAATAAACAAAAAAAAATAAAAGCTTCAAGTATGTAAACGGAAAAAGGTAAAACAATAAAAAAAAAACCTACGGGAATCGAACCAACGCCATTGACCAACGACTGCTTTGGAGTCTACTGCCTTGACTATCAGCGCATGCTGCCATCCAACTACCAGCCAGGAATATAACAGCTACTAAATTTGGCAATTTTGAGTTAGTGGCACTAATTTAGGCGACTTGGGTAGAAAAAGTAGATTAGTTAAACAATAACAGCGTTTGCTTGTTCAACAATGTCCTAACCTCTATTGGCAACCTCGCATTACGTTGGCGCGAATGTGGCGGTGAGTACGCTACGTTTTTGTCGTATCACGAAAAAAGTAGCTATAAAGCAGCTCGCTTTGAATCCGTAATAATTTTCAAATACATTTCAAAAAAATTATATTACAAAGAACAAACCTTGCTCGCAACGAAGCCAAAAAATGCAAAACTAACCGAAACACAAAGACGATAAAAATTAATTTAGCCTAAGAATTAGAGACTAAAAAATTAATTTAGCCTAAGAATTAGAGACTAAAGATACCCCGTCGAATAAAAAAAAATAATTTCAAAATTTTAAAAAAAAGGTTTAAACACAGAAGCGAAGCGGAGCTTCGCACCACTTGCGATAAAACACAAGCAAAACCAAACATAAAAAATAGGTGACACAAACTTTCATATGTGTCGATAGAAGTTCATTGCAGGCAAACAATCCAGATACTAGAATTTTAAACCAGCAACAACGGAATAAAATTTACGAAAAAAAACAAAGCCGACAATCTTTGAGCAGACACAAGTTGAGCCGAAAAAAATATGATTTGATAAAAAAAAAAGTTTAAAGTCCCACCATAAACAACAATGGACAACACTCAAATCAAAATTTAAAAGAGCTTTAAGCATAGAGGCGAAGCGGAGCTCCGCACCACTTGCTATACAACACAAACATAAAGAAAAACTAGAAAACTAGGTGACAGAAACTTTCATGTGTCGAATAAAAAAAAATAATTTCAAAATTTTAAAAAAAAGGTTTAAACACAGAAGCGAAGCGGAGCTTCGCACCACTTGCGATAAAACACAAGCAAAACCAAACATAAAAAATAGGTGACACAAACTTTCATATGTGTCGATAGAAGTTCATTGCAGGCAAACATTCCAGATCCTAGAATTTTAAATCAGCAACAACGGAATAAAATTTACGAAAAGAAACAAAGCCGACAATCTTTGAGCAGACACAAGTTGAGCCGAAAACAATATTACTGTATAATAAAAAAGAATGAGGTCCCACCTTAAACAACAATGGACAACACTTGCACTTGCAACTATAATGACATTTGTTTACAGCAGAAGAAAAATATGTGATAAGACAGGCAATTCAACAGTCTTTGAGCTGAAGCCACTTGAACCGGAAAAAAGTGACTTTGATTTTTTTAAATGTTTCAAGTCCCGCTTGAAAATAGAATGAACATCACTTGCTCTTGAAGTTACAATGAAAGTTGCTTGCAGCAAAAAAAAGTGATGTGGCAACTAAGACGATAATCTTTGAGCAGACACCAACTGAAACGAGAAAAAAAATTTATGCCCCCCCCCCTGAAATTAGTCTTTCAAGTCCCCCCCCCCCCCGCTGAAATTAGAATGAACAACACTTGCAATTGTAACTACAATGAAAATTGTCTTCAGCACAAGCAAAATCCGTTGTGGTAATTTAGCCGACAAAACTATAGCGAACAAACGAAAAACCAACCGTTCATTTTTTTCTCTGATTTTTTTTTTCAATTTCCTTGATACTGAAAAAAAAACCAGTCTGACCGGGACTCGAACTGCTGACCTTAGGGTACAAAGGCAACTGATTTACCTCCAGGCCAAGGGGAAGCAACCTGAAAGGTGTTAGAAGTGAAATAAATCAGCTGCATAGTCAGCAAGAGATTCAACTGATTTTGTTTAACTAGTTGTTAACTAGAAAAAAAAGTCTTAATTCCAGTTTGATAACGCTTGCTGATTGCAAGCGTAAAAATCGCAAGCGTAAAAAACATATCTGCCCGAGGTTAAAAAAAACAGCATAGAGACAAAATTGGATTGAGACTTGATAAGACGACCGTTGAGCTGAAAAAAAAACTAGTGCAAGAACTGAAAGAAACAGCAAAAACGAGCTTTAAAATAGGCCAGAAAAAGTTTTAAAAAAATACGTAAATGATCTTAGAAAAACGAACATCCATTCAACAAATTTAGACTCTAAAGTAGAGTTGAGTTATTAGTCCTTGCTTTCCACAAAACACAAGCCACCAATAAAGCAGATAAAACATGTGTGCTTAAAATACAAGCGGATAAAACACATCAGCAGTACTCAGTTTACAGGAACGAGTAGTCTATAATCCAATTTGATACTGTTTGCTAAAAACAAGCGTCTAGATTCGAAGTAAATTATGGTTTAAGCTTTTCAGAGTGATCATTTTCAAGAGAAAAATTCAGATGGACACCGTGTTCTCATATTGCTTCAAAAAAAATTTTTTTTGAAACCTCTACCCGCCGATCAAAAGACTAAATTGGTGGATCAGAATATAAGACAGACTAATGACGTCAATCAGCTAAATAAACAGGCACCTCAAAGCACAAATTTTTCAATTCACTTTTACAATGATGAACAAGTTTTAATATAATAATCTTACCCTATATTTATTATAATTTATATTTTTGACCTAACAAATAAAATCGTATTGAAACAAAACCTCAATTTTTTCTGCTTTCTATGCTCTCATTAGCGCCCTCATAAATTAGACATTCACATACTCAGTAAATTCGAACGTCAAAACTTACGGGATTAGGAGTGTATTGATTCGGTTGATTTGGTCGACCCTGATTCAGGCCAGACACCATTGTAGGATTATTAGCTCCTGGTAAGCTATTTCTAGCTTGCTGATTATTAACCCAGTTTGGTTGCAACTGTTGGTGAGGCGCGGCTACAGGCATTCCACCTTGCTGTATTACCATGCCTGTATGCCCCATTATAGGGGTGTGCGTAGTTGAACCCATGGCAGCTTGCTGCACATATCTGTTCGACCCGTTCTTGCTCAAACAAGAACCCATTCATCTGAAACACAGCAGCAGCAAATTAGGGCTCGAACTGTTTTTGAAAAAGGATCCTTCATCGCAAGAACTTATTGTATTAAATCTGTCGCTTTTTATAGATCCGATATGCCGAAACTCTCGAAGCGACCAACAAAATGGAGATTTGAACTGATTTAACCGGAACAATAGCAACTTGAAGGCGTCTGTTTTTATTTGAGGTGCCTGCAAGGACAATGACTAGACAGAACGTTGAGTTCGATGTATCAATTTGGTGCGATGTATCATTGGGTGCGATTGTGCGGCGAACAACTGCCGCAGCAAGACGTACATATGAAGATACAATGAAGGGGCCAGGACCCCATGTGAAAAGTATAAAAGAAGTCAATTAAATTGAACAAGAAATAAAAAGGTCACGTAGACGTTAGCCGTAACATTCGCCCGGAAGATACATATCGACGGAAAATAAAACTAAGTCCTAAGACGACTGGCTAACGTCTAAACAGAGCTTTATATGCTTTTCACCGTCTCTACCAAGCCAGTACTTTGGTGGTCTTTCTAACAGCGGGTCTACAAAAACGTTACTGTTCTCCGGCTTCGACCAGAACGCTCAAATTAACTTACTTACATGCAAACTTAGTGAGCTCATGGCTGGGTCTCAGTGTCCCCAGACCACGAGGTCACTCCTAAAAACAGGGCTACTACTATTTGTCATATTATTATTGTTTTGTTCAGTAGATAAAAATCATCATTCCCATCGAAAATGGATCAACCCTTTCCCCCAACTCCTAGCTTCTCATCCTAATGAGAGAAAAGAATGGTAAATTACCTTGTCTGAACAGTAACAGGAAAACAGTAAGAGGATGACGTACAAAACGGGTGGAAGCAGGAAACCGCGTCGGGAAGGATTAATTAAACAGGTTGTCATTAAAATTAAAATCAGTGCATATAAAATATTTAGGTTTCCTGGTGCCACGGATACACAACAAGATGCTTTTCATTAAAGAAAAATTTATGCGAATGCGTAGCCACTTTATGGCTTCAGATTGGGTAGCATTTCTTTTGATGGCAATTAAAAAGGCTAGTTGGGATAGCATCTTGTAGGTAAGAGGGGAGGCGCCGCCCAGACTGCTGAAAACTAATGGTGTAAATGAGCCGTTTTCGATGTTCAAAATACGTTGCTGGTACATATTGATCTTTTCGCGTTCATGTCTACGATAAATCTGCGCGAGTTCGCCAGCATTGCTACGGGCTAGAGGATTAAAAACTCTAACATCAAAAAAAGCCCGTTGGCCATGCTGCCAAAAACTCGAAGCAGAAACATCCAGTCTGGCGCCGTCATTCAAGTTCCCTCTGACGTTATCGTTGTCATTGAGGGGATGAAGATGAGGTTCAACTTCCGTATCCGGACAGACTCCACGCAAGACGCCAGCTAAAAGGTCACGGAGGTCGTTGTGTCGCCGTCCGACAAAGCCTCCGACAGCGCACTGAAGGGCGTGCTGAATACTGAAGTCTGCGCTACAGACACACTTCGTGGGCAACTGTTCGAGGTTCACTCCGCATCGCATCCTTGCAAGATCACGGAATTCATGGCGGCTGAATAAGAAACCGTTATCTCTGTCTGGTCTCGCCGTTAGCCAGTGAGAAGCGCCCTTTTCACAAACTCTAGAGTTGATGAGTTTCAGCTCTACATTGACTGTAGACATCAGGTCAACGTAAGTTGTTTTCTCCAACTCTCTTTTCGCGCGCTTAATGGACTGCGCTCCTTCTCTATAGCTATTAGTCTGGAGGGTATTTTCCTGCGATATTATTTGCGATATCAACGAGAGTGCAGTATTCCTGGCATTTCTGAGTGGTATAAGCCAGTTTTTCGCTCTCATCGCCGACAAACCCTCCAAGATACTTACGGCCAGTGGCGATCTTAACACCAGTATCTTCAAAAAGGAGAGTGGCGGCATCGAAAAATTCAGGCTTGACGACAAGGTAGGTTTTGCTAGCGTTAGGGTAGAAACCGTATCCAGGCCTTTCTTCCGCGAGGGCGTTCCACCAGCTATGGAGGGTCTTAAGTCTGCCGGCACCAGCTCCGTCGTCGGCGTAGAAGACACGCTTAGTGTCGGACTTCATGTATACCAGGGGAATGGTGGCGATGCCATACAGATGGTGGCGAGGCCGCAGCATCTCCCTGTGTAGTCCCTTTCTCAGAAAGAAACATCTCGCTACCGGCAAACATCATGGAAGGCTGTCTATAAGTGTTCGAGAAGAAGTTGGCCAGCTTGGGACACAAAACCTGGATATTTCGCAGAGCAGCGGCACGATTCAATTTATTGAACGCGTTCTCGGCATCGACAAAGAGGATGCCCTCACATTCGGTGCTCTGAAATATGGTTTTCATGGAGTGAACAGCGGCTTCGATGCCGCCGGAGTGCCCAGCACAGGTCTGAAGAGGGCCCACGGTGCTACGAATTTCATCCTTCATTATGCTCATGATAGCAGAAGTGATGATCCGTCTGAAAACGTCTCCTTTGCCGATAGGCCTGATGCCTGGGTTTTTGTCCAGTGCAATAGCACGGGAAGCAAGGAGGGGAGCCAAAGCATTAGGGTCGATGTTGGATCGCATCATGGACTGACCCAAACTAGAAAGCTCAGTGCAGAGGTCATTTGTTCCGGTGAAGCTTCTGGAGCAGAGGATGCGACGAGCGTTGACTGAACCTACGCCGGATGGCCCGGCCCCTCCACTACACCTGAGTGCCGTTTTTCGGATGAGCTCGCCCAAGAGATTATAGCTAGCGGCTATTGTGGGCCTGTCGACAGGTCCATGAAGAATTGTACCGGGCTTGATGTCTGCTCCAGCTGGATGTTTCTGTTTAAGCGCGTCAAGAACCTCGGTCGTAATTTTTAGTGGCTTGATATTAGTTTCCAGCATGTTGGTAGCGGTGCTGTTTTTACCATTTAAAATAAGGGAGCTATAACGTTTAGCGTCAATTTTATCGGGCCCAGTGGCCCGGTTAATATCGATATCAAAACGTTGCTGTATTTCCCTCACTTCTTTCAGTAAGATACATAAATCACCGTCATGCCAAGAGTTGATTCTACGTAGCAAAACTTTCAAGTGGTCACGGCTTTTAGATTGCTTAGCTGGTTTTTGTAACAGGAGTGGGGGAATTACGGCAAACGCAAAAAGAGCACTTTTAGCACCTGGCACATTGCTGATAAAGGTATGCAATAAGCGCACCAACTCTGCGACGAATTGGTTCCCGGCATTGCCAGTCGGTAGGGCAAATAAATTTTGTCGCAGTTTTCCGATTGAGTGAAAACATTCTACCAGCTCATCATGTGGCAAATTCATACCTCTCGTTGTTTCAGATTACCATCATTGATGTGCTGGTAGGGTGGCAGGTCCCTGAACGTCCAAGGTTTCGTGTCCTCCTTTGTTGTGTCCGGTAGCAGTGTTAGATCACTCATCGCCTGTTGTCGTTGAGCCCCTACTTGTTGCTCCTTGTACTGCTTGCCGGATCAGTCTTCTCCCAAGACCCTTCCGAATTGAGCGCAAATCAGCTGACCCTTCCGGATTGAGCGCAATTTATCATTAACGTGCTTAAATGCTCAAATAACCCTAGAGTACAAGCCTCACAAGCGGGCTACAAAACTGATCGTAACGATCCTGACTGATATAAATGCCTGTAACAACAATATATCTATCAACAACAAATGGGAGGGTCGGATCACATCTTGTCTGGGGGAATGATTTCTACTGATTTTTTTACTTTTTTTTTTACTGTTTTTGGTTTTTTCGGTTATTTTTTATGTTTTTTGTTTTCTTGAGTACTATACTACTTTTTGTTTGGTTTTATATATATCTTTAAGTGTTTTTGGTCACAAACCTCTCAGGGAACGAGGGAATGGCCGATCCCCCCACCCTTCCTGATTCGTGAATTTTCGGTCTTAACTAGGTTAAAAAGCTATTCACGGTAATCCGGAAGGCTTCCTTGTTCCGAACTACCCTTCCGCCCCGGCTGTTTAGGCCTATTAAGGGCGTTAATGTGAGCATCCGCTCGGCCCGGAGTGCTCGTTAACGGTTCTGCCGGTCACGATGTTAAAAAAGAATAACACCCAGGAGCGCCATAAAAACATCTATGTAACATTTGCCCGGAAGATACACATCGACGGAAAACAAAACTAAGTCCTAAGACGACTGGCTAACGTCTAAACAGAGCTTTATATGCTTTTCACCGTCTCTACCAAGCCAGTACTTTCGGTGGTCTTTTCTAACATCGGGTCGACAAAAAACGTTACTGCTTTCGGCTTCGGTCAAAACACTCAAATTAACTTAATTACATGCAGAAATAGTGAGCTCATGGCTGGGTCTCAGTATCCCCAGACCACGAGGTCACTCCTAAAAACAGGGCTATTACTATTTATTGAATTATTATTGTTTTTGTTCAGTAGATAAAAATCATCATCTCCATCGAAGATGGATCAACCCTTTCCCCCAATTCCTAGCTTCTCATCCTTATCAAAATGAATCCAGTTGTTAATTAAATTCAAATCAGGACATGACAGGAAGCTAAAAGTTTATATAAAAGGACAAAAATTTCAGTCCCGAAACCCTTCCGGATTCTCGAATCCACTGAATCAAGCACGTTAAACTTGATTTCTCCGTAACCCGGAAGGCTGTCTTCCACCCTTCACCGTTGTTCGCAACGGCCTTGCAACTAATGTAGCGACACAATAGTTGCAACTCGGAACGTTCTCTGTTAACTCCGCGATTCGTTGTCGTTTCTTAATCACAATCTCCGTTGTTCTGACAATCGCAACTAATGTTGTTCTGTTTCTTTTTAGCTCTTCCGCCAAAATGGCCGTTTCTGACGTTTCTCAGAAGTGTTACGTCATCACTTCGAAAATTTAAAATTTCAAAATACTAGAATGTTTTGACCTTCACCGTTCTACTAATCATCCGAATAACGTCGTTAATTCTTCAAAATCACTAACTCGGAAGGTCCGCTGCTAAAATTTCTTAAACTGCAGAGATTGCATTTTGTCCATTCTGGTCGAATGTCACAATTGTGCGGCGAACAACTGCCGCAGCAAGATGTACATATGAAGATACAATGAAGGGGCCAGGACCCCATGTGGAAAGTATAAAAGAAGTCAATTAAATTGAACAAGAAATAAAAAGAGCGTATATACCGCACAGTTTACAGTTGAAGCAGTAAAGCGAAGGGTGTAAGTCAATTAGTTGCCTCAAGGATGCATCCAGCGTTCCCGCACTGAATCGCAAGGTCTAGCTTCTGTTTGAGAAATTTAAAAGCTAGTTTCTCACCCGTTAAGACTGTTATTCGCCTTGCAAGTTCTTTCAACAAAACTGCAGTAGACCTACCAGCGCCACCCAGTGTTTCCATGGCAACGGGTTCGAAACTTACAGTGGAAGGGAGGTCTGAATAATGGTTTCTTTTGCGGACTTCGGCCTCGGAAGCTGCATTAGCACCCGGAAGAACTCCCATTCGCAGATTAGAGTTTGCCAAACGACTTATACATGTGAAATCCCATGCCAAGGTCCGTCCTCGCTGCCATGGCATTAATTTGTGTCCGTCTGGTCTGCGTCCATCTTCGCGTAGCGGCCCGATAGGTTCTAGTGTGGAACTGATGCCGAGTGATTTTATAGAATCTTTAATGATCATGTTGCCATTCGAGTGTCTGACGAACCTGTGCTTGATCATCGGGCAGACAAGTGCGTGTCTTCCATCTGTTGCTGCAACATAGCCACATTTGCACGTGTGTTGTGCGGTTACTGGGGCTCCTAGACGCAGACCAGCTGAAATACGGAACTCATCATCGGACAAAGTCAGACCCAGCGGACGAGAAGGAAGGACGTCCAGCCAAGCGCCTGAACCTACCGCGCGACAGCCGTGATAACGAGCAAGTGAGTTTTCGTCGGTACAATTGCTCAAAATATTTGCGGATTGTTGTTCGTAGATAGGTTTTGTCCAAAATTTTTGAGCGCACTGGGGGGCTAAGTCTTCGAATCGGTGGTTGCTGAGAGACTCCCAGTGGTCGACGGCTTCGTTAAAAAGACCAGGATTGCTTATCTCAGGAGCAAGGCGGTGCCGTAAATTTTCAGTGGAAACAAAAGAAGCAATAAATGCTGATGAGCTGAGAGTGCTGGTTTTTTGAAGACCAAACCCTCCTTGTTTCGTGGGCAAGCAAATTTGACTGAAAGAGACATCGGAAATGATGCAGTTGAAGATTCTCTCAAGTTCAAGGCATACAAGTGTGTCGATTTCGTCGAGTAAATCTGTGTGTTTAAGGTCAGGACTAGCGCGGAGGACATACATAAGTTTAGGGACAAAGAAACAATTTTTAATAAGAAAGAAAGCGGTTTGACATGGTAAAGAAGCTGTTCGCTGCAGGAGTGTCTTGAGTTTCGCAAGTTTGTCCACTAACTCTGCTCGAATCGACATAGTGCATAGACCAGCTCCATGAAGTGTGCTGTCTTCGGCACCAACGCATTGAATAGTGGGAAATGTCTCACGAAAAGCTCTTTCTATCTCCTTTTTACTGCTCCCAAAAGCTGTCACCTCGCACTTCTTCTCATTCAAAAGAAGACCAAGTTTCTCACATGCTTGTTTGATACTCAGAAGATCATGGAGAGTGGTGCGCCATTCATCAGCAAAATCAACGTCATCCAGGTATCCAGTTTTCAGCTTGCTCAAGAGGTTCTGCAAAGCAGGATGTAGGACAAGACAAAAGCCAATGGTAGCCAAGGGATCGCCTTGCTGAAACCCTTCTGTTGATTTGATGGTGAAGGCACCATATTTCAAGAAACTGCTGTGTTCGTAGCAGAGTTGCACAAAGCTAAGGATCTCTGGGGCGTCTTCATTGATGGCTTTCAAAATGACATCACGTCTTACACTGTTGAAGGCGTTGGCAAAGTCAATTTTGACAAAGGCTTGATCACGTTCTGCGCATTCAATGAAATCGCGCGCTACATGGGCCGCCGCCTCACTCCCGTGTTTAACACCAGCTCCTAGCTGGAAAGGCCAAAAATAATCTTTGAATTTTTCCAGCATGCGCCGTGAAATGCATTTGGAAGTGAGTCTTCGCAAAATGTCTCCAATCGCGATCGGGCGTATTCCTCCACATTTCTTGGCCAAAGAGATGAGTGTAGCACTGGAGACGACTGGCTTGATGAACGCAGGGATCTTGCCTGTCAACAATAAATTTGTGTAGTCTGTAAGATGCGAGAGCAGGTTGTTGCCAGCTTCGTTAGCAGATGGTGAAAGTGCGTCTTTCACGTGTTGTGGTCTGAGGCCCGTCTGTCCACCAGCACTACCTGCGTTAAAAGACATGACCGCTCTCCTGACTTCAGACTGACTAACTTGAAGTTGAACACAGTCGTTAGATTGGGGTGTAGCTTTGTCTGCGGGTGCAGGAGGGTGTTTCGCGTCGAGCAGTGTTTTGTTCTCAAGAGTCGGTGGCAAGAAAGTATCGTCGCCTGCTGCCAACCTGACAGCTCCCTTGTTATCTCCTTCGGAAACAGAAGCCATCCTACTACTACTATTAATAATAAAAAACTAAATTACAAAAGGGGCCCTTCCGTTTAGTTACCGTAAGTGCACAAGCTGGATAGGGCCATACCAGCGATATAAAAATGCATATATATCAGCAATGAAGTCATAAAACAGCATTAAATGCATAGTCGTAAAGTTAATTTATCTTAGTTGTCCTTCCTCTACAATAGCGCTTATGGAGTTGTCGATAAATTGATATTTGCGTAGCGATCTGCACCCGTTTATACAAAGTATAGAGCTCCTCAGGAGCGCGAAGCTTATTTTAGTTCTTATGTAGTTTATAGATTCTAGATAGCTTTCTTGTCTTTTTGCACTTAGTTTTTCGGCCAATCGCTGCATCGTCCGCGTGGCTGTTGGAGCAGCGCCACCGGTGCATCCAAAAATTAGCGGGCAGAAGCTACTCTGCTCTACGTTTAAATTTTTTTGCTGATATTTGGAGTTCTTCAGCGTTTAATGGCTTTTGTGTGCATCCTTATGCAGTTTTCGCGATGTTTTGGCATGGGGGTTGAAAATTTTCACATCAAAGAAAACGCGACTGAATCGTGAACCCCAGAGTCCGTTTGCCTTATTGTCAAGTCATGCCTCATCTTCAGTTGTAGTTGAATTGTTGACAAAGCTTTCGCATTGCAACGGCTGAAGTTTTGGCTCAATCTCGACGTCATGGCAAACCTCGTTCATGAGGTTGGCGAATGTGTCTCTAATTTCAATGTGTCTTATGTGTGTGTAACCACCCTTTGCACAGTGAAGCACATGTGTCAAGTTAAAATCAGCACCACATGCACATGTGAGTGGGGTTTTGGTTGGTTTCACATCCGTATCTTAAGTAAATACCATCTCTGAACTCTGATTTATTAAGGTTGAAGTTGTATCTGCTCAATGGTAGAGCATTGAGCCAGTTAGAGGCTCCCTTTTTGGAGGCCAGGTCGATTGCGTATTTATCTGTTTCATTTAAGGAGTTAATGAGGTTTGTTTTTTTTTTCGATTCGTTCTATCAGTTTTCAATTTTTTGATTTTCGTACATATTTTTTCTTGCTGTGTTACTGCTGTAATAGGATCTTGAGATTCCAGTACTAGTGATGTTTCCCTAGACCATTCTAGGTAACTTTCATGATCGGATGGAAGCTTGATGTTAAGTCCGCCCATTTTATTGGGTAAGGAAGATATATCACGGAACTGGGGTTTTAAAGTGTTTTTACCGACTAGGTTAGGTAATAATTGTTCTTTGATAATATTTTCACATAATTCTAAGTTTTCCATAGTGTTAGGCGTTGTCCTGGCAAGAAATGAAAGCTTTTCTTGAACTTCTTTAGTATAGCAGGCATAAACGTTTTGAGGGGAGGTTTTAGCGATTTTCGTTAGTTTTTTCAAAATTTTGATTTGCTCATTTTGTTGAAATTCGAGGAATTTTTTACATTCAGATTCTGTTCCTATAACTAAACCAAGCACTCGGGCTTCTGCTTTTATAGTGATTCCTGTATTGGCGAAGATTTTCTGAGCTTCACCGAGTTTTTCATCCTTGACAATGAGTTGGCATTTGGATGCTTTCACGTGGTAGCCGAAAAATTTACCCAGTGATACAATTTTATCGAGGACGGTTCGTAAATTGCTTAATTTACTGACTGCGTTTCCGTCGTCTGCGTACCATTTCTGGGTTACCTCATCTACTGATAAAAGTTTTATGAGTTCTATTATGGCTAGACCGTACATGGCCATTGCTAGTGGATCCCCCTGGGTCGTCCCTTCTTGAGAGTAGATTGTTTGTTTGTTAACGAATAGTTTAGATGGATTGGAGTAGGAGTTCCTAATCGCTGTTAAAAGGGAAGGGCAGGTATTTTCGATGTTTTTTAATGCCAGCTTTCGGTTCAGCGAGTTGAAAGCGTTTTCGGCATCTATCAGTAAAACAGCATCGGCGGAAGTTTTGCTGTATTAATCTCTTAGCGTGTGGATCGCATATTCAATGCCACATTTTTGTCCTAGGCAGAGTTGGTAGTTTGAACCGAGCGACATCAGTTCGTTTTTTAGACATTTAGTTATTGTTCGCCTTATTATCCTACGCATAACTTCTTCTATGCCTATGGGTCTTACCCCTGGATTCTTATCTAAGGGTATTAATCTGCATGCGTTATATGGTTCCATTAGTTCTGGATTATGTTCTTCTGTGGCCAATTTTTTGGCAATTTTTGCAATTGTTTTTGAAATTTCAACTGATTATTGCCCGAAGTGTGTTAAAATACGTCTCCATACATTTGCATCGAGGCCAGATGGTCCATGCGATCCGTGCGTTCTCATAGCTGCCTTCTTGATATGTTGACCGTTTATCTGATCAAATATCGATGGATGGAAAGGAATTGTTTCGTTTGAGACTGGTGTAATATAGTTCTCATTAATTGGTTTAGATGGTGGGTGTTTCTCTATGAGAGTCTGTTCTACTGTCTTACCTTTGACAATCTCGTCGAGCGAAAAAACGCCTTTAGATGTGTCTGTTAGTTTTGCAATAGCGCTTGATATTTTTCCAGTATTCATCAGTTTGTTGAACTGTTGTGCTTCAGTTTCAGTTTTTCTTCTACTTCCTTTCAACAAGCGCATTTGCAGCGCCTTTCCTTCGTTATATAGTCCATCCAGGTCTCCGTCTTGCCATTGCTTAAGTCGAATTGCTATTGTTTTGGATAAAGATCCATCAATTTCCGACTTTGTTGTGCACAGTAATAAGTGGGGAAAAATCATTTCTGCGTGCATTGCCAAGGTATTTTCGTTGTTTTTTATTAATCTGTTCAAAGTTCTATTGAGGGTTTCAATGAAGTTATAACCAACTTTATTTTTTGACAAGATCTTAAAGACCGGTTTCCAGTGGACCATTTCGGTGTATATTTTGAATGGTTTCAATGAGTTCTGGACAGGGGTTTGACCATGGGTCTTGTATTATTCTAGGTTCTATAGTGGAAGACTCTCCTGAGTGTTGTGAGTGTGGGGCAGTGGAAGGGTGCATTTGGGGGAGCGTGGTTGTAGCTAGGGTTGGGGGATTGCATTCATACTTGTCGTTAGCTGAATGAAATTGGGAGGTGCAGCGATTACAACTGAAATCATCATAGTGATCACTGCTGCGGGCTAGGCCGCTGCATTTTACATGCATGTAGCCTGGGCATGTGAAGCACCAAACACCTCCGCCTCGCAGGCTGCTTTTACAAATAAGGCAGTGTGTTTGAGTAGCCATTTTAGTAAGGACGGCGGTGTCAAGTTAGCGAGAGAATTTATAGATTAAATTTGCAAGAAAATTTGTAGAGAAATCATTACCGTAGAACGAGAAATGGATGCCATCACGGCAGAACATTTGAGGGGTTAGATTTAGGTTGAGGTTAAGCGAAACAATAAGTGTATGGGGGTGTACAAATCTTTTTATCAAATTAAACAGCACATAATTATGAATATAAATTTTGCGGTTTACTTCGGAATTATTACAGTTCCGAGTTGTTTGGGGATGATCAGTGTCTTGGGCTGAAAATTGTTAGTGACAAGGTTAATCAAGTTCTTCCACTGCTGTTCTAATTCTTGTGGATGCAGCCTGTTGTCATTGTATCCAGCAAATATTGTTAATGTATTTAGGCGCTTTGGTCTGTATTGCAAAACTGTTTCAAACAGATGACGAAGCGTTGCGCCGCGGTAGGAGTGAATCGTTGATTTTACTAGAGCTGGTTTGTTATACTTGGTCCTTGAAGTCCCAATAACTAGTTTCTGTGAGAACTCAGGGATGCGTCTTGCCTGGAATCGATGCATCAACCTGAAACACAGACAACTGGGGCGAGAAAGGAAGCTCTTTGGGGGTGACTTATGAATTCTTTCACCTAGGGTTTAAAATTGCTGAGGCAAAGGCGATGAAAAAAAAGTGAAAAAAAAAGAAAAAAAAGAAAGAAGTGGTACAACCTGACGTCGATTTGGAGGTCGATTCACCAGCTCACTCCTTCTTGCGTCTAGTTACGCCAGGGAAACTTCACTCGCCTACGGCTGGGATGGCGAGATTTGGTAAGATAACCAGAAGAGGAAAGCCCAGCACGCATATGATATGATATGAAAACTACTACTACTTATTGTGTTTTAAACTTCAAATAATTTATCGCTATTTTACACATAAATGCGAAGCAGATAATCATCAGTTTTGTAAGCGCTAAAAACTTACAATTTATGAGCAAACGAAATAATAAAAAACAGCGGCGTGTGATAGATTTTCAAAAACGATATTGCTTCAATTTTTCTAACTTCACCGCAAGAGCATTGATAAAACCCGCGTGGTTGAGCTTTGTGACATTCGACCAGAATGATCGAAATGCAATTTCGCATTCGAATTATTATTGGAGCATCTGACTGAGGGGATTGATGGTTTTGATGAATTAATGACCTTGGACATGAACGACACATAATTTCGATTTGGACATGAACGACACGTAACCTTTTACTATTTCGCACACACTGAAACGGCGAAATCAGAACACCAGTAGTCTCAGTGACAACAACAACAGAAAAACGACAGCATATTGAGATTGTGATTAGAAATTGTCAGAAACCATTCCGAGTTGCAACGATTGTGCCGCTACAATCGTTACAAGGCAATTCACGAGAACTGGGAATAGCAATATAATATATAAGTAGTAGCCCTGTTTTTAGGAGTGACCTCGTGGTCTGGGGATACTGAGATCCAGCCATGAGCTCACTATTTTTGCATATAATGAAATTAATTAGAGCGTTCAGATCGAAGCCGGAAACAGTAAAAAAAATTTGTCGACCCGATGTTAGAAAGACCAACAAAAGAACTGAGACGGTGAAAAGCATGTGGAGCTGTGTTTAGACGCTGGCCAGTCGTTTTAGAACTTAGCTTTATTTTCAGTCGATATGTACCTCCGGGCGAATGTTACATAGTTGTTTTTATGGCGCTCCTGGGTGTTATTCTTTTTAACATCATGACCGGCAGAACCGTTAACGAGCAC